AAATTGAGTCGTACAGACCAATTAGCCTGTTGCCAGTACTCTCCAAAATATTCGAAAGAATATTTCTGGAACGAGTACTGACACATCTGGGACGCCAGGAGGCCATTCCAAACCATCAGTTTGGCTTCAGGAGACAGCATGGAACACCGGAACAGGTTCACAGAGTTGTGCACCATATCCTTGGAGCCTTTGAAGAAAAGATGTACTGCTCTGCCGTCTTTTTAGACATCAAACAGGCGTTTGATCGAGTTTGGCACCTGGGACTGCTGCAGAAAGTGAGGACCACCCTTCCAGCCCCATTTTTCGCGTTGCTATCCTCATACCTTATTGGAAGAACCTTCCAAGTGTCAAGGGGGCAAACAGTATCCTTGACTAGACCAATTATGGCTGGAGTACCACAGGGTAGTGTTCTAGGCCCAACACTTTATACTTTATTCACAGGAGATATGCCAACTCCCGAGCCAAATATAGGAAGTACAGATGCAGTACTCATAGCGACCTATGCAGATGACACCGCCATCTTATCACGTCACGTATCTGCGCAAGAAGCTTCAGACTCACTACAAAAATATCTGGACTCTTTCGGACGCTGGGCAAAACGGTGGTGTATCACCATTAATGCACAAAAGTCTGTACATACTACCTTCGCCACTAGAAGAGGAGATTGCCCAAGCGTTGCATTGGGGCCCACTATTCCCAAAGCCTCAAAAGTAAAGTACCTTGGTATCACTCTTGACAGAAGGCTGACTTTTAAAGCGCACATAAGTCAAGTAACCTCAAAATGCAAAAGCAAGCTAAAAACCCTCGACTGGATGCTGAGAGCTTCAAGCAAGTTGTCTTACAGCAGCAAGGCCGCCATCTACAAGGCAATAGTTGTCCCAACCTTCGTATATGGTATCTCTCTATGGGGCTCCTCGGCGAAGACTACAAGGAACAAAATTCAGACCCTGCAGAATAAAGCACTACGCAGATGGACTGGAGCCAGCTGGTTTGTAAGAAACTCAGTCTTACATAGGGATTTAGCAATTCCCACAGTTGCTGAACTCATTGGGCGACACAGTTCAAGATACGCGGACAGACTTGCAGCGCATCCTAACCATCTCGCAAGCAACCTGGCTATAAACAACAATAGGCGAAGACTGAAGAGATTGCATCCTCTAGACAATATTAGAACTAATTAAGATAGTAGCTACAAGTGCAGAATAATTGGCATATCTGCCCTCCCATTAGTTAAGGTTTAGAGCTAAATGCGCTATAGAGTCTAAGACAATAAGCTGCAACAAAATAAAGAAATAAAAACGAAAAAAAAAAAAAAAAAAAAAAAAAAAAAATATTTGTTCATTCGCATTATCTCTGAAAAATGTTTGAGAAGAAACCTGTGACATTTGCTCTCCGAACAAGTGTTATCGCTTTATCTACTTTTAAACTCAAATAGGTTATGTTAATGCTAAACTGATCTGTTACGACTAACGTGATCTGCTGCTGCCTGTTCAGCTAAAGGTATGGTAACAAATGTGGGGCAGACTGGACTGTTTTTATTGTAACAATAATTGTTAATAAAAAAATTAAAAAAATATTGCTATTTAGAATTATTGCTTTTTATTTATTTTATTAACAAATCAAAAACTGTTTCTGCAGCAAAAGACTGACTCACTGTTATTAACAGCTTCGGTTTATGTTAAATGCTTGGCGGAATTTTCAAATTCCAAATATAAGAATTTTTTTTAATAATTGGTAATTTATTTTTGGAGATTGAAATGAATCAAATGATTATAAAATACAATTAAGATGAAATTGCGAACGAGGACAACTTATTTAACTAGTTTGGCAACTACATGGACAATGGTTATTTAAATTTGCTAATTAAGTTCACACACAAAATTAAAAAAGGAACTAAACTAAACAATAGACATGAAAGGTGGGCAACATTGCATTTCAGACTGATACTTAACTAAATTATGAAAAGGAGGATTATTGCATTACAATTTTGACTTCATATGAAGAATGTCAGGAACGTGTCGAAGGCGTTGAGCAACAGACCATGGACACATCCAGCGAAGTGCAGGGCAGATCCTGGGAGCAGGCAAAATTCGAATTGCTGTTCATCTCATTGAAGCCGCTGTCTGTACGATAGAAGCCAACGCCAGGTACAGGCGCAGTTCTGTTTTCATGTTGCGGTGCCTCGACTGCCTCTACCTGGTCCTCTGGTTCCACATCGTCTAGTAGATTTGCACCAAATGATTGGGACAAGTTCTTTCTGTTAGCAGAACGTCGTCGTCGGTGTCGCGGCGTATCCGAATTGGAGCTACAATTGAAGCTGTGTGTCGACAGCTGCGACAATTGAATGGCGTCTGTATCGGCATCATCTTCGTCATCTGTATCGAAGTCCGCCTCTGTTGTTTCATCATTATCCTGCTCGACGGTGACCACGTTTGCTTCCTCTATCAATGGTCCGTTGGGCAATTGTTTTGCACTATTCATATGCAAACGACTCACACGATGATTGATGCTGCTGTCTGTGGAGTACTCCAAGGCCATGGGCGAAGAGCTGCGATCGGGTGTAAATTTACAAGTGGCTCGTGCTGTGCCGGTTAGCTCTGAGAGGGTTACATGTTCGCTGCTGTTGCTACTTCTGCTCCTGTATAGGCGCCTGCTCAAGTGCTCCGATGGCGCAATCGGTGAAGGCAGGTCCACTAGTTCATTCAGCAGCTGTTTGCGCCTGCGCCCGCTACTTCTCCCGTTACCATCGTCCGGAGTACCAGCTGGCAGACCGCAGAGATTCCTAATGGGCGACAGGCAGCCAAAGCTGCTTGAGCCCTCGCCGGCAGAATCGGAGAGACGGCCAGCAATCATGGTCTGCTTGGACTGTGGACTGGATCCCACCATTTGGGCATACTGCGCATCTGCTGGCTGGTTCTGCTGCTCCACCTGATCAAGCTCGCCCAGCACAATAATATTTTGCAAATCAAAGAGCTTGCGACGCATGGAACTGTTGAAGATATCGCCACCGCCAGCTGACTTATTTAGCTGTACGCCCGCCAAATGTGGCTGCAAATAAGGACGCAGTGCCTCTTCTAATGCTTTGGGCAGCACAGGAGGCAAACTGAGTTCTGTCTGCACCTCACAGTCTCTGGAACGTTGCTTTGTTTTGTTAGATATAGGCGTGTTCGCATTTATTTCGTTAATAATAATGCGATGCTTGCGCAGCGGACAGTCCACGGGACTGGGCACTATATGCGATTCCTTGAAAAATGTGCTAATAGCCAATTGTGCCTTGGATTCTTGTTCTGCATCTGGCGAGTCATGAAATTGTGTCTCGTGCGGTTCCACATCCGCGGGCTTCAACTGCGACACCTCCTCAATGTCCCATTCGAATTGAGTGGAAGACAGCTGTGGAGTGCGTGAGCGACACTGAAATAGTGATGGACTAGGAATGGTAATGCATTAATATAGTATTGACTAGGGTTGGATCCGAGACTCACCTGGCTATTAAAGGTAAATGCAGACGCTCTGCTAGAGCGCCTTCGAAAGGATTTCGCACCTTCTGTAGTCGTTTCGGCGGCGGTGTGCACACCGTTCCGTACAATTGGGGGCTGCATTTTGATTTATTCGAGTTGGCGCCATTCGTCGGCGTTGCAGACGCCGCTGCTATAAAATGGTTGCTGTTGCTACTGCTACTGCTGCTTCGTCTGCCACTCGTTGTTACGCGACATTTGAGCTCGTTGAGGCTGGCATAATATCGCGTCTTGAGTGCTTGTGGCGTACGCACCTCATCTGTGTACATGTTCTTTTACAAATATATTGATTAATTTTGGTTTGAAAATTTATAAAATTTTTTTACACCGCTGCCTGATGCAGGCAGCTGTCAGTATATTTCAAATGCGACAGTGTTGTAAAGCGATTGCAAGCATTTATCGATAACGCCAGCACAGACGTTGATTGTTTGAATTGCGGAGCGCCAAGAACTTATCAAAATATTCATTTTGTTTATATTTAAAGATATAATAATTTAAGTAAAGATATTTCAATTTAAGTGCTTTGATTTTGCCAAAATGCAGTATTTTTTAATTGCTTGATTATTTTTTAAATGTCTACATTGCCCACAACCATTCACCCGGAAATATGAAATTGTCATGCAAATGCAAGCACTCCCACTTCATCCTTTCAAAATCGCCAATATCTGCGATACCTGTGACGTCATTTAAAACGTGTCATTATGCGAAAGTCAAAAGTAATTACGTGGGAAAAACATATTCGAATTAATAAAGTCAACTAAACACCGCGCCTATGCTTATATTCGAAGTGAGTATTGCATTCGCTTGCGATTGTTATCGATATCCTAGCTATATATTGTAATTTTTCACAGCTGATAAATAAGTGCAATTTAAAAAAGTATTTATTTGTTTTGTTTGAAATTGAAACTTGAATTATTGCCAACTGCAGATAATGCTATATATATATATATATCAACAAATCAGTGGCGCACTTTGACCGCTCAATCAATTAAAATTATTTAATCAACATGCTGATATATACATTGTACTCTGCATTTGGTGTGCCTTACTTTTAGTTTCCCAGGATGATGGGAACAAAGCAAAACCTTATCTCTTATTTATATTTTTTATTGATTTCAAGATCTAATTGCAAATACCTCAGCCGAATTCAATGTTTTAATTAACTAGAAATATGCAAATCAGGCGTGCGACTAAGCAATTTAATTTTAGTTTAATTCGCATTCAATTCCCAAATCAGCTTTCGATTCACATTTTACACTGAGCCAAAAACAAATTAATATTCTTGAATTAAATATTGTGATTTACATTTATGTGTGGCAGCAAAGAATTAAATTTAGTTTTTAATTTGCTTACCTAATTTTATGGTCTATAAAAACCATTTTTAAGTAACAAAATAGAGTATTAGAAAAATAAAAATTAAATAATTATTTATTTCTAGTTTTTTTAACTGTTTTTTTTTTTTTTTAATTGGAGAGGCACCGACTAGCAAACACCCTAAATACTGTTCAGAGCTACTGAACAGACATCACCACGGGCGCCACCTATTGGGTGTTTGTGAAACTGCGTCACTTTACCGTTGGTTCGCATTAATTTTTGTATTGCTTCGGTTCTAACGGTGCAGGCGGACAGGGAGAGATTGATACCCGCAAAACAAAGGGAGTTAAATTATTTACAGGGTATCGCATCATTCTGCCTGTTTCAAATATTTGCATAGAGAGTTACCCTCAAATTCGATTCGCTATGGGATAAACAAATTTAAAGCCTTTTTAACAATTCTTTGGGTTCGTTAAATAACTAAAGTAGGCACAAAACTTGTTAAACTCGTTGACCAATCTGCTATAAAAGCGCATATCAAAGCAACTGCTCGAGCAGATGAAGCTGGCTACAGGTGTAAAATAAGGTTAGAGAAGTTAACACCAGATCGATTATAATATTAGCTGGTCAACATGTGCGGCATTTTAGCCATATTCTCAGCGACTGGAAGAGCTATTGGAAAAAGGCGTTTTCAAGGCAGCGAACACAGTTTGCGGGAGCTGGCCTATCGACAGAGTGGGAGGCAACGGCATCGCGGACCCGACGATACGGGTGTCCTTGTTATAGAGGAGCAGGGCGTGGCTTTGGTGCATGAACGACTCGCTGTCATTGGCGTGGAAACAGGACATCAGCCGCTGGTGTCGCAGGATGGCAACGTTGCCTTGATAGCCAACGGCGAGATCTACAACTATGTGGAGCTGACCAAGCAGATTGGCAAACGGTTGCCCGGCTATCAGCCCAAGAGCGACTGCAATGTGATAATCGAGCTGTATGAGGAGCATGGCAAGGATCTGCTCCAGCACATCACAGGTATGTTCAGCTTTGTGCTCTACGATCGTCGCAGCCGACAACTGCTGGTGGCACGCGATCCCTTTGGCATTATTCCACTCTACATGGGCCAGGACGCGCAGGGCAACATGTGGTTTGCCTCGGAGATGAAGTGCCTGATGGGCGTGTGCGAGCAGTTGCAGGTCTTTCCTCCCGGTCATCTGGCAGCGGGCACAGTGAAGCAGCAGCTCCAGCCCGTGCGCTACTACAATCCGAGCTGGCGCCAGTTGACACCCACCCGGCAGGTGAATCTGCAAGAGCTGCGCCAGCAACTGGAGCTAGCTGTGCGTACGCATTTGCAGTGTGACGTGCCCTTTGGTGCGCTGCTCTCCGGTGGCGTGGACTCCAGCTTGATAGCCTCTATAGCTGCCAGGATTATGAGGGAACGAGACCCTAACTATAAGCTGCGCACCTTCTCGGTGGGCATGCCCGGCTCGCCAGATTTCGAGCATGCACGCCTGGTGGCCCAGCACATTGGCAGCCAGCACTCGGAGATCAGCTTCACTGTGGAGGACTGCCTGGATGGTGTGCGCGATCTGATCTATCATCTCGAATCATATGATATAGCCACTGTGCGTTGCAGCCTGCCCATGTTCTACCTGTCCCGGCATGTGAAGAGCACTGGCATCAAGATGATACTCTCTGGCGAGGGCGCGGATGAAATCTTTGGTGGGTATCTCTATTTCCACAAGGCGCCCAACTACGAGCAGTTCCACGAGGAGATGGTCACACGCTGTGAGCAGCTGCATGTCTCTGACATATTGCGTGCCAACAAGGTGACCATGTCCAAGGGGCTGGAGCTGCGTGTGCCCTTCCTGGACACCCAGCTGGTGAACCATGTGATGGGCATACGTCCGCAGGACAAGATTCCAGGTGCTTTAAATGAATTCGCAGGTGAACGCAAGTGGCGCATGGAAAAGTTTGTGTTGCGCGAAGCTTTCGCTGGCGATTACCTGCCAGACGCTGTGCTCTGGCGTCAGAAAGAGCAATTCTCGGATGGCGTGGGCTACGCCCTCATCGATGCCCTGCCCGAATTTGCGGCTCGTCATGTGACCGATGCCCAGCTCCACTCGGCAGAACAACGTTTTCCCATCAATCCGCCCAAGACCAAGGAGGGCTACTACTATCGCTGCATCTTCGAGGAGCAGTTCCCGGGAAAAGCAGCCGCCAACACTGTGGAGAAGTGGGCGCCACGCCTGGACTGGGGTTGTCCGGAGGATCCTTCAGGGCGGGCACAGGCCGCACATGATCAAGCCTATGGAAAGTGTTAAATATTTTCATTTCTTGTTTGCAATTGACATTTGAAAAAGTTCTTTAAAATATTAATAATAATTACAATAATAATAAGCAATGTAAATTACAATCTACTGTGAGTTAATCAATTATTAAATAAACGGTTCTAATAAATGTATTTTTTTCCCAAAAATCAATCAACTAAAACATTTAAATAATAAACTTTCTCACGCCTGGAACAATAAAATTTGACCTAACATTCAATTGATTACTTAATTAATGCAAATAAAAATAAAAACTCGCACGTGGGTCATTGAGCCAAGCAGAAGGAAAGAGATGGCATGCGATAAGCAAACGTTATCAGCAGATAGAGCAAGCACGGGATATTGTTGACATCTTGAATGAGAGAGAGCGTTCGAGAGAGCAGTAGCTCTTGATATGTTGTATGTGTGTACATATGTGCTCATATATTTTTAAATTAACTGTTGAATTGGATACAACTAACGAGTCGAAGCGAAAAACTGACGCAACTTGGCGGCCTTGTCAGTCAGCCGAGTCCATCTGAGCTGTCTACTTGTTTCAAATAATAATAAACAATGTAAATTACAATTTCTCTTGAGTTATAAAACTATTATACAAACTATTCTATTATACTATTTATCCAAAATTAATTTAATTTTATTTTTGATAATCGGCAGTCAACTAAAAAATTTAAGCAATAAACTTTCACAGGCGTTGAACAATGGAATTTTACCTAACATTCAATTGATTAGAAAATAAATGCAAATATATAAAAACTGCTGAGCGCTACTTTTTTTTTTTAGCTCACGCGTGGGTCTTTGAGAATATCAGATGGAAACAGATGGCAAGCGGCAGAACAAACGCTGCCAACACAAAACATAGCACGCTCTGAAAGAGCACGAAGCTAGAAACTGACGCAACTTGGCGCTCTTGGCAGTCAGCTGAGTCGAGTCGAGTCGAGACGAGACGAGCCGAGCCGAGCCGACGGTGACAGTGCCGAGTGCTGTCTTTAAAAGAGCGCCACAGCATGAGCGCTTGCAGTTGACGTTAAGTTTTGCTAAACAGCGGACGCTTTCAGGGGCGAAGGGCAAATAGCGAATATTGAATAACGTGTATCGTATATCGGTAAATTACATTTAAGAATCATGTGTGGCATTTTTGCTATATTCTCCAGCGATGGAGCACCTATTGAGGCACAATGTTTGGAGGGCTGCAAGCACAGTTTGCGCGAGCTGGCCTATAGGCAGAGTGGAAGGCAGCGACATCGTGGTCCCGATTCCACGGGCGTGCAGATTATAGCCGAGCAAGGAGTGGCCATGGTTCACGAGCGCCTACGCATTGTCGGCGTCGAATGGGGAGATCAGCCATTTGTCTCAGATGACGGCAACCTCATGCTAGTTGCCAACGGTGAGATCTACAACTATCTAGAACTATCTGCACTGATAGCGAAGAGACGTGGCAGCTATAAGCCGAAAAGTGATTGCCACGTTATATTAGAACTTTATCAAGATTATGGTGTGGAGCTGCTGCAGCATATTACGGGCATGTTTGCATTTGCCTTGTATGATAAGCGCAGCAAAGAGCTGCTGCTGGCCCGGGATCCATTTGGTATTATACCCATGTACATAGGCGAGGATGCAAAGGGCAACATATGGGTGGCATCCGAGATGAAGTGCCTGACAGCATGCTGTAAGCAGGTGGAGACCTTTACGCCTGGCGAGGCGCGTTTCGGCCGAGTGGGTGCAATGCGTCGCTGGCGACATTTCGAGCAGCCGTGGATGCAAGAGCTGCCCACGTTGCCCTGCGATCTGTCGCTGCTGAGAAGCACCTTGGAGAATGCCGTGCGCACGCATCTTCATTGCGATGTCCACTTTGGTGCGCTGCTCTCTGGTGGCGTCGACTCCAGTCTGATAGCCTCAATTGCCACCAAGATTATGCGTGAGACCAATCCCAGCTACAGACTGAAAACGTTCTCGGTGGGACTGAGAGATGCGCCGGACTTTGAGGCAGCGCGGCAGGTGGCCAAGTTCATAGACAGTGACCACACGGAGCTCGTCTTTGAGATCGAGGATGCACTGGACGGCATACGTGACATTGTCTATCACCTGGAGACCTACGATGTGACCACTGTCAGATGCAGCTTGCCCATGTTGCTGATGGCTCGCTACATAAAGAGCACCGGCATCAAGATGATTCTCTCTGGCGAGGGCGCAGATGAGATATTTGGCGGGTATCTTTACTTCCATAAGGCGCCCAACTACAAGCAGTTCCATGAGGAGCTGGTGAAGCGTGTGCAGCAGCTACATTTGTCCGATTGTTTGCGAGCCAACAAGGTTTCCATGGCCAAGGGTGTGGAGCTGCGTGTGCCCTTCCTGGACACGGAGTTCGTCAACTATGTAATGAACATACGGCCGCAGGATAAGATTCCTGGACCACTAAACCAATTCAAGGATGAGCAGAAGTCTCGGTTGGAGAAGTTTGTATTGCGCGCTGCGTTTGCCGAGGATTATCTGCCCGATGCCGTGCTTTGGCGACAGAAAGAACAGTTCTCCGATGGCGTAGGCTACGAATGGATCAATAGCATCCGTCGCGTGGCCACCAGCCACGTAGAGGATGCGGAGTTTGCACTGGCTGCCGAGAGATTCCCACACAACACTCCGACGACAAAGGAGGCTTACTACTATCGCTCCATCTTTGAGCAACTGTTCCCCGGCGATGCTGCAGCCCGAACGGTGGTGCGATGGGTGCCACGTCTTGATTGGGGCTGCCCAGAGGATCCATCGGGCCGGGCACAGGCGGTGCATCAGAATAATTCCGAGCAATAAAAGACTGATTAGCTTAAGTTGAATACAAATAAATTGTTATTACTCTAGATTCAATTTCAGTAAACTAAATTGGAGAACAAAGCAAGTGGATTCCATATAAAAAATCGGATTACAAATAAAAATGAATTAAATACAAAAGATAAGTCCACGTTGCTTATTGACATTTAATATCATTCATTGCTAACGTTGACAGTTTTATCAACGTTTCGTATCACATATTATTGCTGACTCACCTGATTTACATTCAAGGTTTTATTTATTTATATTTAGATAGTTAAATAAAGGCGCCACGTGCAGCATAGCGCTACCAGACTGTTCAATTAGAATGTACTATCGGCAACACACTTACAATCTACTATCGATAAATAGTCAGTAGTTGCAATCCTGTACATGATATCGATGTGACGACTCGTATCGATTTATGGCAACAACCGATGAGAAAGAAGAGGCAATTTTTCGCAACGCGCAACAAAATCGGTGTTAAATTGATGTAAAAAGTGTGAAAATAATATAAAAATATAAGCTAAACAACAACCAAACACTGGAAATGTGCAACAAAATGTGATGTTTGTTAAACTAAACAACCGCAACGCGGCCAAATTGCTAGTGCAAATCTGACCCCATGAGCAATGAGAGAGGAAGAGAGCAAGAGAACATACAGGCAAACAACGCGTCACTGAATAAGTTCACGAATTCAGCCAACAGCAGCAGCAGCAGCAGCAGACGAGACTTTGAAGACGTTGGAATTTGTGTTGAACCCGCGGCAGCCCGACGGCGCTGCGACTGCGACGCCGACGAACACCTCTAGCAGTCAGCAATAACGGTAGACGAAACAGAAGAGAGCAGTGATATTGCAACAACAACAATAACAAATGACATTTAACTTGTTAAAGTGAAACTGCGCGCAACAACAACAACAACAACAACAACATCAATACAAATAAAGAAGTGGGTGAGCGGCGGCAACAATAAGAGCAAAACTGTGATCTCTCATCTGGCAATTGTTCAATTGGCTGTGCTTGAAACGATATAGAATTTATTTAATACCCGTATTTGTGTGCATTACAAATTGTTTGTTCAATTTCCAACTGGAAAATCAATTTTTAACATTGCCCAAGGCGGCCAACAAACACCAGCAGCAGCAGTAGAAGCAGTTGTTGTTATTGCTGGCGTCAGACCCAACCCAAAACAAAAATTGAGCGTAAAAAGAAGAGAGGGAGCCGAAGAAGAAGCAGCAGCAGCAGCCGGATTTGCAAATAAAGTGAGTATTTATTTAGGCATAGAAGTATGCATGTGTGTGTGCGTTAGAGAGAGAGAGGAGCGTGCGTATCTGTGAGTGTGTTAAAAAAAGATCATGCAACTATTTGGCCAAGACACGCATTCGCATTCGCCTCCGCTTCCGTTTTTTTGTGTGCTTTTCGCTTTTCATGTGACATTTAAATTTGATAAATTCGCCCTCGGCCAGTCCAATCGGCTAGCAGAATAACGGAACAGCTGCTGCTTGTTTTTCAAAACTTACACTGTGGTCGCTGCCTTTAATCAACTAGCCCTATCTTATCGTGTAGTTAGAGTTGAAAAAGTTCTAAAAAGTTTGCAGTTACGAAAGCTACGCCCAGCGCTTTAAAATCATTTCAGTTGCTGTTGCTGTTCTGGTTGTTTTATTATAAATAGAAAATTGCGTATGCAATGCTAATTTGTTGCTTGTTCGCTTAAAGCTCTCTCTCTCTCTCTCTCTTGCTCTTTCTGTGACTGAGCAAACAAGTCGCTGTTGTTGCTTAGTAATTGTCGACACACTCTTCTACCTCTACAACTTGCTGTTGGCTGTCATATTATCTCATTTAGCTATTTCCATAAATATGTTGTTTCTTTTTGTTTCGCTGTTTCGTTGTTTTTGTTGTGCTCCCTCTCTCTCTCTCTCTTTGGTAGCCACCCATAGACGGCTTGACGTCGACGTCGCTGCCGCTGCCGCTGCAGCTATTAACAGCGACGCTCGTCATTTACCGTTTATGTCGCTTCCGTAACCAGAGCCAGTAACAGCCGAAGCAGCGGCAGAGCCCCAACCTTTTTGGGTTATTGTTTATAGTTTTTATTTTTGTAGTTTTGGACATTTAACTGCCTATCCAACTACCCACCCACCCACAATCGAGCAGCACTCCTGGATGTCGACGCCGTCGTCGTCACGCTCAACGCGGTGAGATGATTCATATTTGTGCACAACGACGACGTAACAACGCCCCGCTCACACCTACTACTTCCTCCCCTCTAAACTGCCCTGGCTTTCGTGTCATTCCAGCACTGCCATCTGCCACTGTCAGTGCCCATTCTCCCACCCGCACAGCCATTCACCTACTTTTCGCAGTCCAAACACTGACTTCATTTTTCACACACGCACACGCACACGGACACGCACACACAAAAGCACGCACATACACGCACACAGGCACATGGATAAACACAGAAATTGTTGCCCATTTTGCACGTTTGTGCGACTGTTGCTTGTGCTTCTTCTTCTTGTTACGGTCGCAGTTGCTGCTTCTTCTTCCATGCATTTAATGTGCGCGCGCGCAGTTCACAATCTGAGTGCGCGCTATTTGAAAAGAAAATAAAATTTAGTTTTCGTTTCGTCAAAATAGATCAGATTTTTATGTTATTGTTTTAAAATTATATTATCTTGTTTATCTTTGTCAAAATTGTTGCAGATTTTTAATGTTTTGTATTGTTTGTTTACCGTCGATTTATTACCTGAGTAAATTAGGAGCGAGAAATTAAATTCATTTTTATTTTTGACAAAGGAAAGGCAATCAATTCATCTCCATTCAAATTCAGTTTCTTATGCATTTCATGTGCTCAAATTAAATTGACCTGCATTGCAGCGTGCCTCAGACTCGTGTGGCATAAATATTTAATACAATTATCCAAAGGCAAAAGCTAAAATCAATTTTATATCCATTCACTTTTATTGCAGCTGCAACACACACACACACACACACCTTAACAAAGTGAGAGAGACAGAGAGATAGAGAGAGAATGGCGTACCGCAAGCCAAGCGATTTGGATGGCTTCATTCAACAGATGCCAAAGGCGGATATGCGCGTCAAGGTACAATTGGCTGAAGATCTGGTGACATTCCTCAGCGACGACACCAATTCAATTGTGTGCACAGATATGGGCTTCCTCATTGACAACCTGATGCCCTGGCTGACGGGCAGCCACTTTAAGATCGCACAAAAGTCACTCGAGGCCTTCTCGGAGCTGATCAAGCGTTTGGGCTCGGACTTCAATGCCTACACAGCCACGGTGCTGCCCCATGTGATCGATCGCCTCGGCGACAGTCGAGACACTGTCCGCGAGAAGGCCCAGCTGCTGCTGCGTGATCTAATGGAGCACAAAGTGCAGTCGGCTCAAACGTTAATTGATAAACTGGCCACCAGCTGCTTCAAGCACAAGAACGCCAAAGTGCGCGAGGAGTTCCTTCAGACAATTGTAAATGCGCTCAACGAATACGGCACACAGCAGCTAAGCGTGCGAGTGTACATAACGCCTGTATGCGCACTGCTTGGTGATCCCACGGTGAATGTACGAGAGTCGGCCATACAGACGCTCGTGGAGATCTACAAGCATGTGGGCGATCGCCTGCGACCGGATCTGCGCCGCATGGATGACATGCCTGCCTCGAAGTTGGCCTTGCTGGAGCAAAAGTTCGATCAGGTGAAGCTGGAGGGTCTGCTGCTGCCCTCTGCGCTGCGCAACGGCAGCAGTGGCAACGGACTGGACGAGGCGGACAACATCTCTGTGCGCGAACGACCCACAAAGATTGTGAAGCGACAATTGCACTCGGCCACGTCGTTGCAGCGTCAGAAGCCCACGCCCAATGACGTTGCCGGCGATGCGGGCGCCGTGACCATGGAAATATTTGAGGCCAGCTTTGAGCAGGTGCCGCAACTGACTATATTCCATGCCAAGGACATGGATGACATATACAAACAAATCTTAGTTATTATAAGCGATAAGAATGCCGACTGGGAGAAGCGAGTGGATGCGCTCAAGAAAGTGCGCGCGCTGCTGCTGCTCAACTATCAGGCGCAGCAGCAATTTATGACTGTGCAGCTGAAGGAGTTATCCTTGGCCTTCCTGGACGTATTGAAGGAGGAGCTGCGCTCGCAGGTGATACGCGAGGCGTGCATCACAATTGCGTACATGTCCAAGACGTTGCGCAATAAGCTGGACGCCTTCTGCTGGAGCATACTGGAGCAGTTGATACAGCTCATCCAGAACTCGGCCAAGGTGATCGCATCAGCCTCGACGCTGGCGCTCAAATACATCATTAAGTACACGCACGCGCCTAAGCTTTTGAAGATCTACACGGAGACGTTGCAGCAGTCCAAGTCGAAGGACATCCGCTCGTCGCTCTGCGAGCTGATGGTGCTGCTCTTCGAGGAGTGGCAAACCAAGTCCCTGGAGCGACATGCTCTCATCCTACGCGACACGCTCAAAAAGTCCATTGGCGACGCGGACAGCGAAGCGCGTCGCCATTCTCGACTCGCCTACTGGGCATTCCGACGCCACTTTCCCGAACTGGCGGATCAGATCTATGGCAGTCTGGACATAGCTGCACAGCGAGCACTGGAACGAGAACGTGACGGTGGCAGCTCTAACGGCGCCCAGCAGCGTCCAGTGGCGCCATCACGCATCGGACGCAGCACCACAAACACCTTGCAAAAGGCAACGCCCAGCATGCGCTCCATCTCCGCCGTGGACACGGCTGCGGCACAGCGCGCCAAGGCGCGTGCTCAATACACGCTCTACTCGAGGCAAAAGAAGCCGGCGGCAGCCACGAACAGCACGCTGCATGCTGGAGCTGCTGCAGGCGGCGCAGCTGGCGGTGGTTCGCTGCCACGACCACGTCTTAATTCCAATAGCAGCCACCAGAATGTCTCGCCGGGCACGGTGACGCCTACCACACGCATTGGACGCACACGCGCTGGCGTCTCACAGTCGCAGCCAGGCTCGCGTTCCACGTCGCCCAGCACCAAGCTGCGTGATCATTATGGCATGAGCGGCTACTTTAGGGGCGGTGCCACTGGAGCCATACCCAAAAAGGCCTCCGGCATACCGCGTAGCACCGCCAGTTCCAGGGAGACGAGTCCCAATCGCTTGGCCGGCGGCGCAGTGCTGATGAAGCGCAGCATCTATTCAACCGGCTCCAGTGCGCGACGCACACCTGAGCGCAATAATCCAGTACGCAGCACGGCTGCATCTCGCTTGCTGGCCCAATCCCGTGAAGCAGAAATCTCGCTGGGCGGCGGCAACACCGGCGATGGCGATATGGCCGACTACGTTTCCGGCGACTTCATGCGCAGCGGCGGCATACGCATGGGACGCAAGCTGCTGGGCCGTGATGAATCCGACGACATTGACTCGGAGGCGAGCTCTGTGTGCTCGGAGCGGTCCTTTGACTCGAGCTATACGCGTGGCAACAACTCCATGTCGAACTATTCGCTAAGTGGCTCACGGAACCGCCTCGACTGGAACACCCAGCGTGCGCCCTTCGATGATATTGAGACAATTATACAATACTGTGCCTCCACGCACTGGGGCGAGCGCAAGGATGGCCTGATCAGCCTCACCCAGTATCTGGCCGATGGCAAGGAGCTGACGCAACAGCAGCTCCAATGCGTCCTGGACATGTTTCGCAAAATGTTTATGGACACGCACACTAAAGTCTACTCTTTGTTTTTAGATACGGTCACCGAGCTGATACTGGTGCATGCACCCGAGCTCCATGACTGGCTGTTCATACTGCTGACGCGCCTGTTCAATAAGCTGGGCACCGATCTGCTTAACTCGATGCACAGTAAGATCTGGAAGACCCTGCAGGTGGTACACGAATATTTTCCGACGCAGCTGCAGCTCAAGGAGCTCTTTCGCATCCTTTCGGATAACACACAGACGCCGACAACCAAGACACGCATTGCCATTCTGCGCTTCCTCGCCGAGCTGGTCAACACGTACGGCAAGAGCAGCGACTTTCCCAGCGACCAAAACCAGAGCTGCGAGCGCACCGTCTTGAAGCTAGCTCAAATGGCCGGCGATCACAAGTCGATGGAGCTGCGCTCGCAGGCGCGCCAGTGCCTGGTGGCGCTGTACAATCTGAATACGCCGCAAATGACAAAAATGCTGGCGGCATTGCCCAAGGGATATCAGGATACGGCACGTCTGTGCATACAATCGAATATCCGGCGACAGAGCAGTGGGGCCAACTCGCCGAGCAGCTCGCCGCTGAGCAGCAGCAGCCCCAAGCCGCTGCAGAGTCCGAGCGTGGGACCGTTCTCCTCGCTCAATATGCACATGAATTCTAGTCCACGCTCACGGCAATCATCTGTGGAGCAGGAGGCGAACTATGGCTTCTCCGAGCTGGAGGTGCAGCACAATATACAGAAGACCTCCGAAGAGATACGTTCCTGCTTCTCTGGCGGCCAATACCAATCGCTGGCGCCCAATGGCTACAACGGACATCATCTGCAGTTTGCCATCGATCAGCAGCAGCAGCAGCAGCAGCAATCCGGTCGTGATTTGACAGCGCAGCAGGACTCGCTGTCATCGAATTCGAAGACCCAATCGTCGGCCAATACCACGCAATCGAATACGCCGGAATCGGCAACGATGCGACTGGATACGGCGGCGCCACCAGCACAGCCAACAGCTAAGATTTCACTGCTCGTTGCGGAGAATGGGGAGCTGATACTGCCCGGCAATCTGCACGAGAGCGAGGTGATGCGCGTCGCATTGACACTCAGCAAGGAGCAGTCCGTGGAGCAGCTGCAAACGGCGCTCGCCAATCTGGGCATCTGCATACGCGGCGGCAACTGCGAGCTGCCCAACAAGCATTTCAAATCGATAATGCGCATGCTGCTCCACATGCTGGAGGCGGAGCACACGGACGTGATCATCTCTGGCCTGCACGTGCTCAGCAAGATTGTGCGCAGCGATAAGATGCGGCACAATTGGCTGAACTTCCTCGAGCTGATCTTGCTGAAGATCATGAACTGCTATCAGCACAGCAAGGAGGCGCTGCGCGAGATCGACACGATGATACCGCGCATAGCGCCGGCTCTGCCCCTAGATCTAACCATTAACATTGTGAATCCGGTGATTGCGACTGGGGCCTTTCCAGCCAATCTGTGCGCCATCAAAATTCTGCTCGAGGTAACCGAACAGCACGGCACCGAGATAACAGATGCTCACTTGGATACAGTGTTCCCGAATCTGGCACGATCGGCCGATGACCTGCAGTCGATGGTGCGCAAGGCGGCGGTCTTCTGCATTGTCAAGCTCTATCTAGTGCTCGGCGAGGAGAAGCTCAAGCCGAAGCTCTCGGTGATGAATCCCAGCAAGGTGCGTCTGCTCAACGTGTACATTGAGAAGCAGCGCAACTCCAGCAACAATTCGGGCGGCGGCTCCACCAAGAACTCCTCGGCAGCGTCCTCCTCATGATTGCGAGCCAGCATCCAAAGCTCTTCACACACACACACAACACACACCACACACAAAGACACGTCGTCTCTTAGCTTATGCAAAAAGTGAAAAAAAAAAATAAAAAAAAAATTAATAAAAAATATATATATATATAAACTAAAATAAAACAAACACAATTGATGATATATATATATAACGATATAAAACTCACACTAATTAATTTATAAACCTAATTATTACTGATGAGCAACATCAGCAGCAGCATCAGCAACAAGGCAATAATGCTAACAAAATCAATAATTGTGTAATTGTTTATTATTATTAAAAAACAAAACAAAAACAGGAAAACAAAAAAAAAAACAGAACAAACTATTTATATACTTCGGAAAAACAAAAGAGAATGAAAAACTTGTAGCCAACTCGTAACAGTCTCCCAACACACACAGTCACACACACACACACACACACTGTAAACAGTTTTCTATATGGTTTTCGTCTATTTTTTATACTATATTGAGTCACTTAATCATATTTTTGATTTCCTTTAGTTCTTAAGTCTTAAAGCAAAAGCCTAAATTTTTTTTCGCCTTTTGATTTCTGCTCAACTCGAAAAAACAAACGAAAACAAAAAACTAATTTACACAATTTTCTGCTGTTTTTACAACAAAAACTATTTTTGTAATTATTTAAAAAAAAACAACACACTTCTAGGTTATGTAATAATATTTATAAATTAATTAAATCAATAAAAAACAGTTAAAAAAATTAAAAACAAGACAAGTAAAAAATAAAAACATTAAAAAACGCTCCCAATATATAAACTCAATTCGTTTGGCTTTTATTTTGGCTAGAGCAAAAGTAAATAGTTAAAAAAAAATTCATTTTTTATGCTAATTTGATTTATTTTTTTTTTAATTTTTATTTTTATTTTGTTTGCTTTCATAAAATTTAAACGTTCAAATATTTGTTTTATTTACACAAGGGCTTAAAATTAGCTACATGTATATATAATCTTTAATTTTTTATTTTCTTATTTTTTTTAAACTTTGAAAATATTTGTCATAAAATTTCAACACTACGAAGTTTTTGTTCTCATTAATTTTTTGTGAATAATTTTTTAATTAACAACTAATATTTTTTATTTTTTATGATTTGACTAAAAAACATTTTTGAATGTTTTGTCGATGTGTTATTATTTTTGGATTTGGATTCTTTTTTTTATTTATTTTTTTGGGCCCTTTTGAAACCTGAACTGGTTTTTTACACATTAAAACTGATAAAAATTTGTCAAAAATTTCAAATCTTTTTTGTTATTAAATGTAACTAAATTAAGGCACTTAAATCGAAAAAAAAGTTAAAAAATTTAAATTGGACAAGTACAAAAAAATGAAAAAAAAGAAATCAAGTTAAAAATTTAGTGCTTTGCTTTAACTAATTACAAATTAAAAGTAAAAACTTTAATTAAGTACCGTTGTAATATGTATTGTTGTATATATATATATATAACTAAAAAACGTAAAACCTTATTTAAAAAACAGGTGTTTTTGTCGCATTAAAGTTACTTGCAATGGCACATCTTTTACTAATTGTATTTACGCAGAGAATCGCTGAAATCCGAATGCATTTGCAGCGGAAACAGAAGAGGAAACGAAATGCATTGCTCTACGAGTATGTACAGTGTGACAAATCGGTTGCGCAGCTGGCAAACTGTTTGTGTTCATTTAACATTCGACTACTTAACGCTTAGTTTTCAATATACATTTTGGCCTTGTTTTGTTTTCTGGTTTTTCTTTTGTTTTATATGAATTTTGCACGCAATCAACGCCAGCAATGCCCGACAATAAAATACTCTACAATCTGTTTCGGGGCATTGCCGAATTTTGACCGAAAAAGGCACACACAGAGAGAATTTCTTTTTTAAATGACAAAACGACAAGGTTATCTATATATATATCTTTCTACAACTATATATATATATATTGTTTGTGAGCTTCTTCAGTAGCCATTGCAGCGTATTTCATTGTAGCGCGCTCTGCTGGCTGCACTGTAGGCCGCATAGCCATAGCGCTCATACGCCGCGTAGTCCGCATAGGGATAGAGCTGTCCACGCATACGACTGCGTGACATTTGACTCTGCTGACTCAGGCTCTGACTGGCGCTCTGATAGCCATAGCCATGCTGCTCTTCGTAGGGCCAATAGCTGTGCATGTTGCCACCAATTGCTGCATCATAGTAGCTGCTGCCCATGTTGCTGCTGCAGTTGCTGTTGTTGCTGCTGTTGTTGCTGCTGCTGCTGCTGCAAGTCGCTGCGTACTCCTCGGCCAGCCGCTCGACCAGACTCTCCGGCGTCTGCAGAAAACGCTCCGAGAAGCGCCCGATTTCGGTGGAGCCGAAAGCTTGCTGAAAGCCAGGCAAAGGCTTGATGTCCTGCAAGCAAATAATATCCAGTCAGACTCTGAATTTAACTAGCTTGACTTAAGCTCTATTTAAAATTAAGTTACTCAGAATGTGATCGACTGGGAGTTACCCTGTAAACAACCTAGCTTAGCTCTAGATATGTTCACTCTGCTTTCGAAGCGCTGAGTCCCAGTTACTGGGCCAACAACAACGACAAGACACATTCGGCTTTGCAAATCAGGGCAAAAGTAGTTCCTATCAAGCCACATTTGTCATTATTTTCACAAATTCTGTGAACTTAGGGCCTTTCGAATAGGAGCCATACCCTATTTGGGCTGTTCCCTCTGTTACTGGCACTTAACATTTCTATGTTAACATAATGTTAAATGGAATTTTATAAAGAAAGCATTTCTGACTAAAAGAAAAGGCTTCTCATATCAATAAGTTGGGCATAAACGAAGTCAAACAAGAAAATTTCTGGGCAACCGCAGACTTAAAGCCAGGGTAGGGGTGTTCAGGTCATTGAAAAGGCTTTTTCTTGCTTCTTTGTGTGTATGTGCATGTGTGTGTGTGTTCATTCTCACCCTTATTTGTTCGCGCACTGTGGACTCCATGGCTTCTACATGCTCCGTTTCCGTTTCCGTTTCCCGTTTGCTTGCCTTGCGTTTTGATTTCTTGCTCGGTATGAGATCGCATTCGATTATGCGATTGTTGTTGTTGTTGTTGTTGTTAGTGTTGTTGCTGTGACAGTTGCGATTTTTGGCATAGCTGCGCTTGCTGCTTAGCGGCTGCTGCTGCTGCAGCAGTGGCGCCAGCGCAGGTGGCACAGCGCTTGTGGCTGCAGCCGCTGAGAGTCCATATCCGACGGGCGAGTTTTGCGGCGCGGGCGGTGTGCGTGGCCGTCTCAATGTTGGACTCCAGTTATGCGTGGCTGCTGCTGCTGCTACGGCTGCTGTTGGCGTCTGCTGTAACAACAAAACCAAGAACAAGAAAATCGATTTAGTGTGCAGTTGCAGCGCAGAAAAAGTTGTTACGCTCAAGTGGCGGGCACTTGAAATTTGCCAGCAAAGGTGGCCCGTTAGGCGCGTGCTCATAGCTCGTGTTGTCAAGCCACCCAGCCCAGGCAACTCCACCCAACCAGCCCGCCTACAAGCAGAACAGCAGCAGTAGCAGCAGCAGCAGCAGCAGCACATTGAAGTTCACCCAAAAATCAATAGGCGCCCGCTTTTGCGGCTGCTGTTGTTGCTGCTACTAAGACACCCTGTATTAAGGCTTCCGGCTAGCAAGCGCGCTCTGTTAAGGAGCTCTGCCTTGCTCTTTCTGCTGCTGTAAATGAGTCACCCTGTTTAAAGGCTTTCGGCTTGCTTGTGTTCTCTTTGATTGCGCACGCTCACTTTTGCGCGCTCTCTGCCTCCTTTGTGCGCCCGTTCTCTGTTGTCTGTCTGGCGCTCTGCCTAGAAAGCCGGTCGATGGAGCTAAACGCATTTTGCTTTTGGTCTTCTCTTTTTAGTCGGCTGCTGCTGCGACTGCGGCTGCTGCTGCGCTGCTGTAACGGGGCATCATTGTAGTCTGTCATTATCAGTCTGTCGTTACATTGTTTCTTCTTCTTGCTTTTTTGTTTTTTTTTGTTGCTTTGCCCTAATTTGTCATGGCAGCTGCGTGCCGCTGCGTTGCCTAATTGAGCTGCTGCTGATGCTGCTGGCACTGCTGCTGTCACCTGTTTGTCGCTTAATTAGACAAGTCAGGATCCGCTCACTATCGCTGCCTACCTTCCCTTTCCCTTCTCGACTGCAGTTTTAATTTGTAATTTTGCGCCAACTTACCCCGGCTGCATCGTCGTTGATTTGATTAGCTGCCGACTGCTGCTCCCCAATATCCTGCGGCGCTGTTGCTGTTGCTGCTGTTGTTGTTGGTGTCGGCTTGTTGGGCTTCGCCAAATTGATTTCCGCACGGTTCACAACATCCGGCTGCTCAGCATTGCCCGCCTTATCGGTATCATTCACAATAGGCGGCGACACTGACGTCGACGTGGACGTCTCTGCCGTCGTGCTTATGTCATCTGGAAAATTGGCAAAAAAACGGCGCCCAGGCAGGCAGCGAGTGTTAAATAAAAATCAATAAACATTGCCTTCCTACTTTTTTATTAGTTTTTTTTTTTTTTTGTATATTATTTGTGAGGCGTTTTGTAATTATTTTGTCATGCGTGCTGGCGGCCATCAAGGGTTAAAAAGACAAAGGTTCAGTCAGGTTGACCAGCGCGAGAGAGCCGCAACTTTTGTTTTTTTTTTCGCACTCGCTTATCAAATTTGTTATATTTCTTATTTTTTTTTAACGGGGGTAGCTAAGAGAGCAAGGCAAAGAGACGGAGAGAGAAAGAGACAGTGAGTGAGGGAGTGAGTGAGTGCGTGAATGTGTATGAGTGTGAGTGTAAGCGACACATCAACATGCACTTGTTGAACGTGTCAAACACACACACACACATTCACTCACACATTCGCGTGTCATTTGGAGTGTAAAAATTTATAGCATACTTTTTAGCGCATGCGACTGAGCCCGCATTGTTTACGTATTTTCTGTTGTGGCCAGCGCCGAGTCGCGATATTCGATTTGTATTGCTGTTGTTGTTGTCATCATTGTTATTGTAATGCTATTCACGTCAAATAAATCAATTATAATCAATTTAAAGGCTGATAACAGCGTGTGGGTGCGAGCATATTAGCTTAATAATAGGTGAGTGGGTAACAATATTTAATAACTTTATTAAACTTTTACTATCATTAGTTTGCCTAGCTAAAAGTTATGTTTGAATTTATTAAAAAGTCTATAGAATTTAGTTGATAAAGTAATAACATGTGATATTTGTAATATTAATAATTTTAATATTATTAAATATATAATCATTTTATATATTTTATTTGAAAGAAACTGAGGAAGATATTATAGCACAAAGATCTTATAAATTCATTTATGAATTGTCAAAAGATCTGTCGTATCTGAAGAATTTTCGATGGGAAGCTGGGAAATAAATCAATGAATTTATTTAAAAAACGAAATATTTTTAATTTTATAGGTCTTATGACAACTTACTCAGCTCAAGCGACTCTTAGTTCCTCAGCTCTTTTTACTAAAAATCATATTTTCTATATAAGCTATATTAACTGCATCTAAACTGCTCTAAGCATAAGCTTTCAGCTTATTGCGCATCCTTTGCTGCTGCTGCCGTTTTTTCTTTTCGTACTACAGTTGACTTGTCATAACGGACATTGATTTTTGCGTCAATGTTGGATACCTCTACAACAAATATTGCACGAGCATGGGGGCTGTTCCAGGGTGTCTTCTCTATGTGTGTATTCGTGTGGCTCTGTGTGCGTTGGGCAAACAGCAAGCAGCTACAAATAACCCACCACATTGCGTTGTAAAGTTCATTTACATGCTCTGCTGTGATGACATTTCACGCGCACACCCTCAAATCATATTTGTGTGTGTGTGTGTGTAAGTTGAGCGCCCATTGATAAGCAGCGGCTATGCCCACAAGTCTCGTTTGCATTAGGAAATATTTAGAAAAGCTGTCAAAAGTTGGAGTTAGGGTCAATGTGTGTGCCTCTGTGTCTGTGTGTGTGTGTGTGCTGCGCCGCCACACACACTTAACACCTTCCTTCCACTTGCCAGTGCTCAACTGTGTGTGTGACGCGACATCAGCCAAGTTAACTTATTGATTCGCCCAACACGCCTCCGCCAAAAAGTCAAATCAGAATCAGCTCATCAAAGGGTGAGTCAAAGCTCAGGCCCCACTGCCAGCGCCTTGCGTGCCTAAATAGACAGCTAATTTTCAAGTCCTTTAAAGCAACATGACGTAGGCTCGTCATAGTTAACGGCCAACAGCCGACACAGCCCACGCCACCTTGTGCTAAGTCGTTGCGACAGGAAGCGGAAGCATTTGAGCAGTTAACCAACGCTGATTGGTTGAGTGTTTGCAAAATGTCGACTACGCTGCTCCTCTGCTCTGCTCCACTCTCCTCGACTGCTCGACTGCTCGACTGACCGTCATGTCGTGTCAAATGGCTGCCTGACGGACAGTTGCCTGTCAGTGGCGCTGCTGCTGCTGATGAGGCTGACGGCAGCGTTGATGGCGACTCAAATGGACGCTCTTTGCATTCATTTGCATGCAAAATCAAGCATACGCAGTGGCTTACAAGCAGCCAGCACAGTGGAGACTCTGCTCCACTCGGCATTTATAATTGAATAGAAAATGTGATGTGAAAAGTTATTTATAATATGTGCTTTTAGTTCTAGTTTGATTAAACAACTTTTAGTTCCTTAATTAAGTTATTAAAAGTTCTTTAAATACAGAAAATGTTAAAGGCCTTCTCGTTCAGCTCCAACTGCCAGTGACTGTTAAATATTCAAATAAGCTGTTAAGCGGCCCAAATGCTTCAGTAAGCTAAGCTAGGCTTCAAATGTTAAGCTTACAGTTTATGTTAGCAAGAGATTTGTGCTTTATATAAGCATTAACAGTCACTTGCGCTGTAACTTAACATGCGCCTGTTAGGGGCTCACTCTCACTCTCTGTGTCTCTCGCTTGATCGTGTTCTGCTAGCGCAGCTTACACTCTGCTATTCAACATTCTTGCTGTTACTTAGCGCTGCTGGCTATGTTAACAGAAATGATTTGATTTTAACAGCAAACCACAGTGCGTTGCCTGCTTTGGCTGCCTCTGCTGCCATTGCTGCCTTTGCTGCCTGGGGGCGGACATAAATACTTGTTACATAATCTAGTCTGACATATGTTTGCATAAATTTACAATCATTGCGCCGCCCCCTGCATAATTGTACATTAAATGGAGCGTAATACAAATGCTGACAACTTACCGGGCATATCGACAACAGCTGCTGCCTCCACGTGCTGTTGCTGTTGTTGTTGCTGCTGCTGCTGCTGCTGCTGTTGCTGCTGCTGTTGCTGTTGCTCTTCTTCGTAGTCTCTGCCATCGGCCGGACAGTGATAGGACACACAGGACGCGGACTCCACAGACATATTCACTGGATACTCGCCGCTGTAGACGGGCGTGCTCTGACTGCTGTCGCTGCGTGCTCGCGTGCTGCAGTTGCTGATGCCGCTGTCCGTGCCGGTGGCACTGATCAATGGCGGCGATGTGGTTAGCCTTTGTGTTGGTGATGTCGCCTCCACATCATGCTCCAGTTTGATTTGCTCAGGCAGCAGCTCCTCGAGCTTGGACTGTTGCAGCTGCAACTGTTGCTGCTGCTGCTGTTGTTGCTGCTGCTGCTGCTGTTGCTGCTGCTGATGTTGATGTTGCTCTGTGTAGTTGCGTAATGGCTCCAAATAGTTGGGTGGCAACACTGTGCGGTTCGGTGCTGGCGTCGTAGAACGTCCGGGCGTTCCATAGTGTGTGGGCGTGGCTGGCTGATAGGCGGCAAAGCCGCGTGCCTGGCCATAGGCGGAAGCACTATAAAGCGCAGGCGCTGGCTGCTCATAGCTGTTGCTGCTGCTCAGGTGTTGCTGCTGCTGCTGCTGCTGATAGGCGTGTTGCGTATGTGGGCGTGGCGGATAGTGCAGCACACTGGAGGGTACCAGCTGCTGGCCAGCGGGCGTAAACATGCTCGCATGATGATGCTGGTGCGACGGCTGACTGTAGTGGGGCGAGGCATAGGGCGCATAGCGATAATAGCTGGGCATATAGGAGGCAGGACCGGGACTAGGGCCCGGACTGGAGCTGCCATAGCCGTAGCCATAGGGATTATAGGCGCCGCCATAGCCGCCGCGATAGCCAGGCGCTGCATAATGGGACATGGCCTGGGCCTGGGCCTGGGCCTGGGCCTGAGCCTGCGCCTGCGCCTGCGCCGGATGCAGTTGCTCGTAGTAGCTGGCGGCGTATCTGTCCGACATGTTGGCCAAATGAAGGTCTCCTTGCAACTTAGAGGCGCCGCTCGTGCAACAGCAACAATAACAATGGCAAAGTTGACTGCCCCGTTCCCTTAACAGTTGCTGTTCCGGCCATATTGCCAATGCCTGGGCTAACCAATTACATGTGTCTCTTATTGATTTTATACTCGACTGACGTTGTGCTGCGACTGTCCTTTGCTGTCCTTAAAGTCCTGCAAGCGAACAAAACGTGTAAAATGTTAGACTGCCCTTAAAGCTTCAATATTTCATATGCGAAGTCGGGGCTAGTTGGGTGTCCGGCGTTAATTTGCTTAACTCGTATGCGTCCGCAATTCAATTAATGTTAAACAATAACATTTAATGCTCATTTCGCAAGGCAATAAAGCCGCAGGATATAAGGCCCGCAGGATGTGTGTGCACAACAGCAGACAACATAATGAGACATCGTTTCAACAGCAGAAGCTGCTCCCAAATTGGCCTTAAATTAAGCCAGCGACCAGCCAAGTCTATAGAAATGTGCAGTAAGAGCAAACGCCTCGAAGTATGAACCGAAAACTCAAGCGAATTTTACTTGAATTGGGCAGTTTCTAGCGTTTACTTAAGTAGTCTATGATTGATGTACTGTCTCTTAACATAATGTTAAGTTTTTGGCTCTGTTAAGTCAGCTTGAAGCTTGCCTGGCAGCTGGAGTGTATAACACTTATAACAGTTTTGTCAGGCTGTTATAATGTGTTTTACATTTTGCACTTGCTATGAACAGTATGTTAAGTTTAAGCCCAGCTTAAGCTTGGGCCGAGCTTTAATAATTAAAAATATAATTGAAAATTAAAAATTATTAATTTTATTGAGTTCTTAATATTCCGAGTTAAAAAAGTATATAAAATTTAAAAATTAAATATATTATTGATTAATATTTTTTTAATATATTTCTAATTTGAAATATTTAGAAAATTATTATTTCAAAAACTTTTTCAAAAACTTTATTCGAAATTAGAAATAAAACAAGAAATAATATTTTAAGCTTCAAAGTGTTCATATCTAATCTCATTTCTCTACCTCTCAAAGCCTTAACTAGAGTTCCATTATTAAAAGCGTAAATTACGTTTAGGAATTATTCAAATGAAATTCTAAAGCAATAAAGGTATTTGCAAACGCAAGACAGAAATGTTTAATTGAAGCATTTGGTATACTTGTGGCCTGCATTGATGAATAGAAGCTGAAGGTGGAGATGAATGATAGGATGAATGTTTTTGTTTAGCTGTTTGGGATGGTTGGGCAGCTGCTGTGCAGCAACAACAGCTACTTAGCATAGCAAGCGAGCCACTCATTGTATGCGTGTGTGTGAGAGTGTGTGTGTGGTTGTGCACTGAGTTGAATGCATCAAAACCGCAAAGCATTTTGGTTGCACGCAAGCCATTAATGAGCCACAAAAGTGCATACAGGCTGGCAGAGAGAGAGAGCGAGAGTGTGTGTTTGTGAGAGAGAGTGAGAGATAGACATGGTATATGTAGTGGATGGGCAGAAGCACCAAAGTGAAGCTGTTTGTGACCAATGACGTATACCAATTATTATAATGTTAATGTGTTTTGTTTTACATGTAAAAATAAATAACTAAAAAAATAGTAGCTGCGATATTTTGATGAATTGGGTGTGTCAACTTATTGATTCGGCGACTTTGAAGATGTCCTGCTGGCTGGCGGCAAAAAGAAATTAGCAAAACAGCCAAAGCAGACAAGGAGAGAGCGGGGTGGGGGTAACAGAGTACCAACTCTATTAGCAGACACCCACACACACGCGCGCACATGCAGAATAACATAATCAATGTAAATGTAAACAAGCGCTGAGCGATGAGAGAGCAGAGCGAAGAAGGCGAGAGAGAAAGAGCGTCAGCCGGCAGAGAGCGCGAGAGCCAATTGAAACGGGTTATGTTAAGTGCGTGTGTCAAGCTGTAAAACTGTAAAAAAAAACTGTAAATGAAATGAGCCTCGCAAACGTGTTGAGCAACTGCAGTGGGGCTTAGGTGCTATGTACGCGGTTTCGCTCGCACTCTCTCTACGCTCATGCGTTGCAAGTGAACAGCAGGAAACGGAAGCTGTATGGCATGAGATGCTGCTTGTAAGCATATACATATGTATGAATGCTGGTAAATGTGTAGCGTACTGTTTTGGGACAGCAACAGCCGCCCAGTTCTAGCGCATATAAATCAATAAAAACACACACAGAGGAGCAGCAGCACCAGTCGTGCCGAATCGAGTCGAGCTGCCTGCCTGCTCAGCGCAGCTTCATTAATGCTTTGCTATGCTCTCCACTTTTTAACAGTTTCCCAGTTGCCCAGCACTGATGCTAGTGTACAGAGGCAAGTACAAGTATGTACTCACACACATACACACCCATACGTACGCACACATAGTAATTGTTACGTTGACGTCGTTTCGTGTACGTCACAATATGCGAGCGCACTTGAGCTGGCAAATATTGACAGTGCCCGAATATATGCTGCAGTCTTTTTTTTGTTACAAATGCAATTTTAATTGAGAGCTGCGTATGACTGTGTGTGCGAGCATGTGTTGTTGCTAATGCACTTGTGTTATATTGTTATTCTTATTGATGCTTTTCAATAATTGGGGCAAGTGCGTGAAAGAGCGCAAGCTTTGAATGTGTGAAAAAAATGCAGCATAGGATATGGGGCATCGAAGCTATACCTTTTTATTTTGCTTTTAATTAATATAATAATTTCTATTTTAAATAATATAAATAATAATTTAAAATAAACAAAATAATAATATACAAAATCTAGTTTTAGCTACTATATAAATACTTACCTAAAACTCGCTTGAAATTAATTACTGCACATAAAGTTTATTAAGTTTTTATAATTTTCATTACTTTCATTATTTTGCACACAATAGTCAGTTTTTCTTTACAATTCAAAATACCGTTATATTTGAAGTGTTGCATACGAATTCAAAATACTTATATATTGTGAATACTCAAGAGCTCATGTTCTCTCATACATTGGCACTCTTCGCACTCTTGCACTCTCGCACAAAAATCGAAGAGAGGCAACGATCAAAACTGCAAACACTCGTAGACACTATCGCATTCGTATTCGGCTTCGCACACACATACACATACATATACACACACTCAAATTCACATTCACATGGGCATTGCCAAGTGGCGGTTGCGGTGCCGACTGTTTAACCCTTGAATGTAAATGCGTTACGTATGCGCTGCGTGTGCGACACGCGCTAAAGTCCAACGTAGACTGAAATGCGATACGGCTGGCGCGCTACCATTTATACACTGGCAGCCAGCCTCAGCAGTGTTGCCATCGTACCCCCGAAATGTAAAGAAGCAAAGCTGGCAAAAGACGGCGGCGAAAAAGCAGCGAAACGACACCAACATCGAAAGGGGGAAGAAGCAAAACGAAAAGAAGCAAGGAAAAAGCAAAAAAATCGGCACAACCGCTGTGCTGCACTGGGAACCCAGCGCAAACTGTGTGACCCGATTTGACGGGCAACCTGCCCACACACGCGCTGGTTGCGGGGCGGGCGAGCTTTCGTTGAGGCCGAATAAAGGAGAGAGTGAAGGAGGCAACGGGAAAGAGCGAGTGAGAGAGCGCGCGCATTTGGCAATTGCAATGGGGCGAAAACTCTCTCTCGCAAATGTCATTTGTAAATTCACTTACTTTGCTTACGAAATTAGAGCACAAAACAGAAACCGAACAAAAACAGAGCGAGCCAAAACAAAAATTAGGAAATACCACACGCACACATATACACATACTAAATGCGCACGAGAAGGTGACTGAGTAGAGAGAGAGAGCGATTGCGCAGCCAAATAGCAAGCGCTCGGGGGGTTTCCCTGGTTCAGTGCTAGTCATGTTATCAATGGGTATGTATGCGCCTGCTTTATTGATGTCCCCGGTTAGCAGAGACTATAAAAACTATAGCGCATATTAAGGGGCATACAGTACTGGGGCCATAACAACTGGAAGTATTTCATGCGACTGATAACAACTTATGTATTTAAGTAAATACCGGAGAATTGTTTACATACATATACATATACACAGACACACATACTTACATACACACATTCATATGCAAAGTCAATACGCGCCATTATTATTGATTTAATCTGGGAGAGAGCTTACTGCTGCCTAACTGTACGCAGCTCTCTCTCATAGTACCGCGCTCTCTCTCTCTCTCTCTAGATGCACGTGCTGTTTTGCGGTTTCTACAGTCAACAGCAAAGCCACCAAAAATATTGTGGGCGACAACGGCACGGAGGTTAAGCAGCAAAGGAAAAAAAACGTAAACAAAGCGTGCGCACGCAACGGCATAATACAGTGGGGTAGGGTGCTGCAGATGGATGGCGAAATACCCAGTTAGACGCATATTGGCAAGGGTGTTTTTGTTATTGATTCGCTAGACGGCATACAGGGTGTGAAGGTAACAGCGATAACTTCAAAAGGATGTGAAATGAATGCATGCAAAAGATGATTTATAGTTAAATATACAATTTAAATAAGTGTATATATAACTTAAAAATTATATAGATTTATGTAACTTTTATAAATTTATTTGCAATTTGGTGAAGAGCTGCAGGTTCATCTGCACACGCACTTTTCTTTCAAACAACTTTTAACAGTCTTCAAATACAGCCAGCAGATGTAGAACACAAATAAAAACAATAAACAAAGTTTGTTCTCGGAACAGAGCGAGCGCTTAGCCAAACCAATGGGCGCCCATACAGTCACGCGTCCATTCTGTTTGACAGACCCAACACCACTCGAAGCCGCAGCCGGCGCGTGTGCAGACCATGTGCATGCAGCCACCTGGAAGGAGTGAAAGGTTTATTGAATGCTGTTGTATAAGATGTCATAATCTGCCACTCACCATCTCGTTCTGTGGGCGTGCGGCATTTCGGACAGGGTTTGGTGCTCACTTTGATTGTTACATTGCTGGCCTCTTCCCATCGAGCTTCGGCTGCACGCTGTGCGGTATACAATGTAAGGATTATACAAGCATTTGTGAAGCAATAATAACTTACATTCGGATCGACAGTGTATTCACAAGAATTGGAAGCAGTCCCGCTCGCTCCTTCGGGCAAGCATTCGCCAATGTGATAGCCCTGCAAGCAATTGCGACAGAAGACATAGCCACAGCCATTCTGGCAGGTCACCTTGCGACAGTCGGGCTCGACGAGCAGACCCATGCCACAACCCGGCTGTGGACAGAGGACGCCACCTGCCTGCAGAACGAATTCTTCGGTGGCAAAGCGTTGGTAGCGTTCATATTCCTCGCGTGACAGCAGCTTAAAGTGATGAATCTCCTCTATAAAGGAATGCTCACAGCCTGCCGGACATGGCAAAGTGTAACCGAAGTCCGGATGTGGCATAAACTGACGTTCACTGAGACGCGAGCGACAATAGTCGCGAAAGCAATCGATACAGGTGACGTGCTGTGAGGCACACGGAAAGACCAGTACAGTTTCGCTATGAAGAGATTGATAAGCGAGAAATCTAAGAGTTGTCACAGCACTCACCTGACCTCCGTGCAGGCTAAACATGGTACATTTTTAATGTTGTTCTTAATTAGATTTAACGGCACAGCGAAATCCTTTTCGCCGCCAGAGACATGCTCTGCGCACTTGAAATAAAACTCGGCAAAGGGCGGATCACCAGCCTCGTTGTCCACGCAAGCAATTTCGAGACTCTCGCAGTGGCCGCGTATGCGACGCGCTTTCAAAACATCATCCCAGCACTCGGGATCGCGATGCACGGTGAAGGCCCCACCTTTGCATAGAGCACAACGCACACGCAGCTTGCCCTTGCACAGTTTGCTGCATTGGCCACAATGGACAAAGAAATGCGCCTTAGCACGCACCCGTTCTGCGAAGGTGCGTGAAAGATAATCAATGCTAGTTTACCTAATACCACCTGTTGCTCACCCTCGTCGGTGATGTTTAAGCGCTCCTCGCTCTCCAGTTGCAAATCGAGCAAGGTTTCATTTAACGGCTTTGACGGCTCCTCCGGACTTGACTCCTCCTCCATTAAGGCGCTGGCCTTGCGTTCACGCACAGGCGGACGCAAGCGAATGGCGTGTAGCACGCTCTGCTGGCCAAGATCACATTGCTAGAATCAAATTTCAAAAAATTATTACTCGTCTGTTATTCTATTGCATGCAGGCCTACCTCAATTGTTGTGGCATCGCTTAGCTCTTTGCCGGCGAATATAATTTTCACTTCTTCTGGCTGTAGACCCAGCTGTGGCGCCACAAGCTCCTTAACGTTTTTTATGTCCCACTGCGGTTCTAAGTTCACGGACAATGTGCGACCCGTATTTGTTTTCACGTAAATGCTCAACGTGTGCGTTAATTTGCCCCCGATTTGTAGCAGCTCCAGCATTTTGCGAACCAAAGCAGCAATAAAATTAAAAATAAAACTCATTTAAAAACGAAATTACAAAGCTAAAGTTACATTATCTGAATTGCACTCTTTATTTTGTTATCAAACACTGGTATTTTTTTTAGTATTCCGTCATCGTTGTGATTTTATACTGCCAGAGTCACATCGCAGTATCAAAGAAGGTGCTTTCTAAATCATGATGTTCAAATATAAATTACATTGCATTATGAAGTTGAACAGTTTATTTTTACTCTAATGCAGAAATACTTTTAATATTAATTTTTTTTCAGTTGCAGTTTTTGCCAAACATTCAAATGTAACAGTTACAAGTGGCTACCACTTTTCAACACTTACCCATTCTGTATAACCAACTCATCAGCTGTTCTGTTTATTCAACTGTTTTCGCCATTCGCTTGTCAACGTCGTCGCGTGCTTTTACGCGGCAATATTTGGAAATCGAATTGAGAAATTTATTTTGTTTGAGGCTTTAGCTAAAGCCGAGTGTGATTATGTCAGATTTCAAAATAAGAGAAGTCACTGGTGACTTATTTTCGGCTGGTCCCGAGTATTCCATGTGTCATTGCGTTGCCGCCGATTTACGGATGGGCAAAGGCATTGCCGTCAAGTTTCGGTAAAATCTCTTACTAAATGTCTATTGCTGCTAACTTGAATGTTTTATTCTCACAGAAATAAATTTGGCAAAGTTGCCGAATTGGAAAAACAAAATGTGAAACCAGGCGGTGTGGCTGTATTGGAGTCTAATGGACGCTACATTTACTATTTGATAACCAAGCAACAGAGCTGGGGCAAACCTACCTATCAGCTGCTGCACAGCTCCTTGAGCGCCATGCAACAGCATATGGTAAGAGATATGACAGTTTATAATAATTATCACAGTTTTCCGCTTCGACAGGCTAAACACAATGTGACCAGGCTGGCTTTGCCAAGGATTGGCTGCGGTTTGGATGGTCTTAACTGGACTAAAGTAAGGGACATGCTGGCTGAAGTGTTTCAAGCAGATGCTACTGAATTGACAGTCTATAATTATGCAGCAGCAAATAAATAGAGGAACTGTTTGTGAACAATAAAATTAAGAATTCATTAAATTATTGAGTCTCCTGGGGCGGCACAAAGTTGTAAACCGTAATGTCCACATCCTCGCGCTGAAAGACATCATTGAGTATGGCCGTAACTTTGTCCCACTGCAGGCCATCAATGCCGCAGCCTATGCGCGGTATGGCCAGCTTATGAACGTTATTCTTGACCTGCGGGCAAATGGATGAAATGTCACGAATCTCATATGGCAATGTATTTGACGTTTACCATGTGATCACGCATCTTCTCCAACGACGACTGCAACGACTCGTATGAGGGCAACGACCAGCTCTGCGACTTGGTCACCAAATAGTAGATGTAACGCTCGTCATCCTTCAGCACAGCCAGCTCGCCGCTGCGCGCCTTCTGGGCGTGCAGCTCATCCAGGTGCCCGTAGATCTCCTTGAACTTCACAGCTATGCCCGCACCCATGGCCAGATCAGCGCCCACGCAATGAGCCAGCGAGTGAGTCTTCGGAGCCGAGAATAGATCCCCATCCACCTCCGTCAAGTTGAAGCCAGTCATGTTCTGAACGAACGCACGGCAAAAGGCGTGACGGATCTCTGCAACTTTAAGAGAAGACATTTTCTTACTTTCTTTTTTTGGTATGGAGGTATATATATAATGGAGAGCGAGTCAACAGGCAACGGTTACTCGGAGATTAAGCATGTTGCTATATGGTATATAGATAAGTCCGTTATGCATGCGTTTAAAGCCAGCTAGCAGGCGTTGTCTTTTTATTTGTTGTAAATATATTTTTATAAATATTCATAAAATAAATGTAATTTTCTTGTGCTCTCGAACTATGCGAAACTAGATAGAAGTAACGGTGCATTTGGTGCCTTGCAACCCATGCCAACCCATTTCGAATGTTAGAAGTTAACAAATTCATATATACAAAGAAATTCGATTTGTCCCAGCGGGACTTAGAAGGGCGTCTTCTCTCTGTGCAGCGATTGCCGCGAGGAGCTGACGCTGCGCGGCAGCTGCATGAGCTTCATGTGGCTGCAGGTGGGACAGATCACCTTGATGGTGTCGCGTTCCATGCTGGGCGGCTGATAGAAGAAGGCAATGATGTCCACGCCATCTCGCACGAAGACCAGCTCCAACAAGCTGCGCACGCGCAGCCAATCCAGGCGATCGATGCCACAGCCCAGGCGCGGAATGGCCAGCTTAGTGACCAGATGCTCACGCTGAGGATTAGAAATGGTTTAGCTATGAGCCAAGTCTACGTAGAGCAGCCTGAGCTGGATTACCATATGCTCGCGCATGGCCAGCAGCGCATAGTAGAGCGCCGTATAGGTGCACTTCTCGTGCGCCCGCTCCTTGGTCACCAGGTTGTAGATGTAGCGTCCGCCCTGCTCTAGCACGGCGACGTTGCCCGTGTGCCGCTGCTGGCGCTTCAGCTCGTCCACCTGGCCATATTTGCAGCGAAACTGCAAGCTGATCCCAGCGCACATGGCAAAGTCCGCGCTCACCGAGTGCACCAAAGCGAAGTTTTCCGGTGCGCTAAACAAGTTGCCCTTCGCCTCGGTTATCTGACACTTGGGAGCGGCCAACTGGAAAGGCAGCGTCAAGTGAATACACACATTCATTTCCCCATTCGTGCCACTCACCTCTCTGGTGATGTCGTCGTGCTCGCATATCATTATCTCGATGGGATATTCGCCATGGGCGAAGATTTGCTGCATTATGCGCTTCACTTGCTTCCACTGGAGGCCCTCGTCGCCGCAGCCGATCCGCGGCATCGCCACTTTGGTGATTTCATGATTCCGCTGCGATGCGTGATTGACAAAATGGAATCCGATTAATTAACATAAGCGTGCGTGCGCCACTCCGTCTCTGGCCAGTTAAATACGTCTGCATACATATTTATGATGCTAACAAATTAACGAGAAGCTGCGCAAACAGTTGTGCGACCAGCACGGGCATAGCCGACGCTTGTATACCCTGACTGCAGTCTATGAATGCCTATTAAGAGCGGCTCACTGTTATCTAAGTAGGTTTATAGCCTCCACTTGCTCGCTCCTTGCTCTTTATGTATATATGTTTATATGTATATGTCTATGTGTATGTATATATCTAATATATATGTATATATCTAATGTGGCAGTTGAATAGCGCAATATCTTCCATATATCTTTGAATATGCGTTTTAATAGATAAATCTTATTCTGCGACTTTCCTCCTAACTGTTTCTCTTGCTCTTCGTTTAGCTGCTTATCTTGCATAAATATTTCTTTCTCTTTCCCATTTTCTTTGTATATTCTGCAAATATTTTACCCTCTCTCAATACCTTTCTCTCTCATATCTGCTTTTCTCTTTATATATCTCTCTTCACATATATATATATATATCTCAATATTTCTTTCGATCTCAATAGCTATAGAACTTTCATTATCTATCTCTATATCTTAATATTTCTCTCTCTCTCAATATCTCTGTCTGTCTCTCTCTCTATCTTTCTGCCTTCTTTATCTATCTCTCTAGCTTTCTCTCTCTATCTTTCTCTAACTCTCTATATCTTTCTCAAACTCTTTCTATCTTTCTCTAAATTTATCTCTATCTTTCTCTAACTCTCTCTCTATATCTTTCTCTAACTCTCTATCTTTCTCTCTATCTATCTTTCTCTAAATTTCTCTCTATCTTTCCCTAACTCTCTATCTTTCTCTAACTTTCTATATCTTTCTCTAACTCTCTCTATCTTTCTCTAAATTTATCTCTATCTTTCTCTAACTCTCTCTCACTCTTTCTTTATCTTTCCTTAACTCTCTCTCTATCTTTCTCTAATTCTCTCTATCTTTCTCTCTCTCTGTCTCTCTCTCTATCTCTCTCTATATTTTTCTTACTCTCTATCTCTCTCTCTCGCTCAATATATCACTTTTTCTCAATATCACTCTTTGGCTCCCTTAATATCTCTCTCTCTCTCTCAACATCGCTCTCTCTGAGTTATGCTTTTCATCAATATCTTTATCTCTATCTTAACCCACCTCGGTCCCTTCTCTCTCTCCATCTTTCTCTCTCTCTCTCATTATAATTATCTCCTCTACATATGTTTCTCTAAGCCCACTTAATACATGTCTTTCCCTCTATACATATCTATGTTGTTCTCTAAGCAGCTACAACTATGTAGCTATCTAATCTCTTATTTCTTACATATCGCTGTTTATTCCCTCTACACAGTCTCCCTCTCTCTTTCTCACACAGCTTATCTATGGCTCTCTGCACTCTTCTCTCTGCCCCACTCGGTCTCCCCTGCCTGCTGGCTCCTCCTCCGTTCCACTCTCCGGCTTACCATATGTTCGCGCATGCATATCAACGCCGCTTGGACGTCGTCGTAGGTGCTGGCGGCATAGAGATTGGCCTTGGTGACCAAATAGTAAACGAATCGTGCATTGTGCTCGAGCACGACGCAGTTGCCGCTGGTGACGCGACGTCGTCGCAGATCGTCCACATCCCCGTAGACGAGGGCGAACTGCCAGGCGAGCGAGCCGCGCACCGCCGCGAAAGACGAGTCAACGGCGTGGGCCAAGGCATAGTGCTGTGGCGCCTGGAACAGATCCAGTTTCGATTCGACGATTTTCACGTTCGTGTTGGCCATTCTCGTTAACTGCAATTAAGTGCAATTATTTCTCGTTTCCGTTCAATGCCAAAGCAACGGCAGCAGCAGCAGCAGCAGCAGCAGCAGCAGCAGCAGCTGAAATTGTATTTTTAAGTACTCACCCGGAAAGTTTCGCAAGGCCAAATCGAATGCCCGAATCACAAATGAAAAACTTTTTTACGCTTTTTTCTCTTTTTTTCTTTTTATTTTGGGTTTTTGGCAACGAAAGCTGAACGAACCGAAAGCAACAACAAAGCAATTAGCGGCGACTCGTCGATTGGTTTGATAGAACAGCGATTTAACAACCGTTAGTTAGTAGCTTGTTTTAAAATATGTTTCTGATTCTGTTGCTGCCTCTGCCTCTGCCTCTGCCTCTGCCCCTGCTGATTGTTTATCAATTTGGACGCACAGCTTGCGTCTGTCTCGAGCGGCGTTCTGCAGCGAAATGCGCCCAGCGAAATCTGCTCGAAAGCGGCTTCAAAGCGAACAGAACGTTGCAGTCGAGCTTCAGCGACTGCTTAATACGCGCTCACCAAGCGCAAACTTTAAGTTTAATCAAGTTTTCTTGACTCAACTCGCCTGCAGCTACCAAAAACAGTTGTTTCTGGTTCTAAAGATTTAGCAGTTATTGCTTTGCCCATATGCCACGCCTTCTTCATCAAGAACTTGGCTTGAGGACGCTAAGGGCACATAGCTTATACCCTACAATTGTCATGCCCCTAACAGACGCAGTCAAGGAACCTTTGATAGGTTTGTGTAGCAGCTCAAGGCTTAGCCACATTCCAAATGGTAAGCTTCTAGCTCTGCCACGCCTCCAATGGGCATTTATATATATTATATATATCATATAAATATATATCTACTAGAATCTGTACACATTTATATCAAATTTCAAGACTCACTTTTTAGGTATACCAAAAAGAACTTAACACTAAAATGGACAAAGTTTCGCATGACCAAACCTCAACCAATATGCCCTTTTGTGCTAGGCCAGAGCATGTGTGGCGAGACAGAGACAGCAATAGCGCTGGAGGCACAGCTAAAGCCCAGTTTGGAGCCCCCAGAGGCGGCCCCAATTTGTGGCTTTTGGATGTCAACTCTGACTCAGCAGTTGGTTCTATAATATGCCATCATGTTGTTGATGATGACATATGATTACACACACACACGCGCACACAGAGACTCACACAGACACACACACTGACACACACATGTCTGTGCGTGTTTGTTATCGTTTGTTTGTTTGTTTTTGTTTTGTTAGCATTTGCTGTTAATTTATTGTTGTTGTGGCATTTGCCCAAAGCTGAGTTTGTCCAAAATCTTTGGCCCTATGGCCCATTGGATGAAGCTAAATATTGATAGCGCGCACCTGCTCGCGTAGGCGAATCTCCTACAACGGTAATCGCTGCCAGTTGAGCAATTAAATAATAAATAAAGTGGCAATGCCGGGGAGTGCACGACTACAACATACGCTGTACTCGACGCAAGGCTGCCTATAGAATCATTATAGGCAGCGAGACAGAGACAGCAATAAAGCTGCTGCTGTAAGCAAGCGCGCCATCTATTGACCACATTCTGCAACTGACACAGCTCTCTCAGTATGGGAATTGTAATGACATCTAAATGCACGTATATGCAAAAGCTAAAGTTGCTACTAATTCAAATATGTTTTTAAATTTCAATTTCGCTTGGCATGGGTTAAGCTATACAACATCGGATATATTCAAAACTAGATAAGTAAATGAATATGGCTAGATCAATTCATCTGAAACAGCTCCCCATACAATTTTACAAACTCATCATAACCCTTTTATCATTTACAGGGTATACCAAATAAAATCAACTCACATACCGTTCACAATTTTGCTGTTGCTTGAATACGTAAATAGAAATGTGACTTAAATTATAATAATTTTTGCGCATAGCTGGTGAAAACAAATATTAACATATACACACAGAAACACACAACGCATGTAAATTACCATATTAAGTTAAGCCAACAACAATAGCAGTAGCAACAACAACAGCAACAATATTGTCCATAAGCTTTATTTTGAAACTTTTACGTTTGGCGCTGAATTCTTACGTCACTGGTTTGTGTCTTGGCTATACGTGCATTTTACAGCACTGCTCGCGCAATGTAAACAAATGGAATGTGCTTTACCGCAAATCAATTCATTTATCTAACTTATAAACTTTAAGTGTGTTAAAGTGTTTTTATCTAGTTATCGCTAATTTATATACTATATTCAAAGTTAATTGTTAGGTGGTGCACAAGCGTCTTTTTAACTGTGCCCAAGGCCACATATTTAGCTTGCTCTCACACTTGGTCTATCTCGCTCTCTCTCGCTCTTTCGCTTGCTTCTACGCATTTCTACGCATGGCGCGAGCAGATTTTATTTATATATAAATTTAAATTTCACTTTTATTCAATTGAGCTAATCGCAGCAAAGCTTGAGGCACCGTGTGGAAAAGTCCGATAGACGACGACGACGACGTTGACGTCGACGAGAACGTCTCCAACTCAGTTCATGGCAGTTCAACTTGGCGCTCCGACGGAACACGACGAGGCGCACAACATAAATCAAATAAAATCTCTATATATTCGCATTTTGACACTGATTTGCTGTTGTCGTTGTTGTTGTAAAATTGCACATTGTTGTTAACGTTTATTTATTGTAGTAATTACATAAAACAGTTGAACTATTTCGTTTGTAAATATTTATACTTTACGTAGTAGTTGTGTAGTTAATTGTCGTGCTAAGAACATTCGAATCTTTCCGTTTGCTTGGGCAATTCGCCGCTAATCGCGTTTAATCTCCCAGCAAATAAGAGGAATCAACTGAAGAAGACGCGCTTAAGAAACGTTCTACAACAGACGCAGTTAAGAGAATAACTAAAAAGTGCAAGGCGAAAGGCGAAACGAAACTTGAGAGCAACAACACAAGCAGCAGCAGCAGTAGCAGCAGAGACGCCCGCAGAGACGCTAACGTTGACGTCGACGTCAGCTGTTTTGGTCTCGTTACGTAGTCGCTGATTTTTATCGACTTGTTATTGTTGCTTTACGTGTCTATTTTTTGAGTTTTACGTAGCCTCAACTAGTTTCTGTTTTTGGGTTTTAGTTGTTGTTGCTGCGACGTATTCGTCTTTGTTGGTGTTGTTGTTGCTATTCTTGTTTGTTTTTAGCACTAGAACGTTTTTGTTTTTGCCATATTCGCTGCAATGACATCGTTGACATTGTGCTGCTCGCGTCGTGCGGTCGCTGCCAACGCCTACGTCAGCGCCAATCGGCGGTCTATTCAAACACTTCAAAGGCGCCAACAACAACAGCAACAAGAGCAGCAATGTAGGCGTAACGGCGCAGCTGCAGCGCCTAAAATCAATGCAAATCTGGGCGGTAAGTGGAGAATTTATTATTCTAATTACGCGAGCAATTGTTTATTATCTATGCGCTATGATTTATATGCCTATCTTTAGCTTCCTTCTTCTGACGCTCACGACAGCCAGCTGACAGTCGCGTTAGCTTTTTTTTTTGCATATAATCAGCTGTTCCTTATAGATACTCAGCTCGAAATACTTTCGTTGTTATTCAATGCCACCCACGTGTGATCAATATAATTTTGTTTATTAGTCATAAAACCAGAGAATTTGTATAAAAAACAAATGTTTTTTTTTTTGCAACTCAGCTTAGAGCGAATTTGATCTAGAAGTCTTGTTATTTATTGAGCTGCATAGAAATTTATTTTTAATTAAATATAACTAATCAATTTTTGTATATTTTCAGTTCATGTTGCATGAAATTTTATTAAAAAAAATACTAGGAAATTTATTTTTTAGTTTTAGAATTCACAAAGAGAGTGAATTCCATGGAAAATATATGGAATGTATTTATTATTATTTATTATAATATTAAATGAGAAGTTGAACAATTGTGAAAGCTATTCAAATATTGTTTATTATTTATTATAATTTATGAGCCACAGAAAATTACTTCTAAAATTATTTTTCATACAAATTTTGACAACCACAAGGAATGAAAATTAAAATTATTTTAAATTAAATTTAAATAAAAAAATATATAGATATATATTCTTAAACTGAATAAAAACTTTTATGCAACCTTAACTTAAGCTTAACTAGCTGTTATTATTAACAGTCAGTTGAGATATTTTGGCTGTCAAAATAAATCATTCAAGTCCCAAGTCGTAGTCTTTTAAGTATGTAGATTCACAATATTTCGTCGTCTAAGATTAAGGGTATTCCCTCAGCGCAAGTCCTCAAGTGACAAATTGAACATTTGAATTATGATAGATAATTTGCTACTACTGCCCACAGATCTTATAATAGCTATAATATATAATAGATGTATTTCATAGATATCAAATTCAATTATTCAATTCGAATTGTCGATTCGTCCATTGTTGAGCCAAGCATTGTTCCACTTCGTTTACTTGATTAATGACAATTTGATTGTCTAATTGAAAGCGCATTCAACACTCGCAACACTTTGTGTCCAGCCCCAAAAATACAGCTCGTTTAGCTTCAAGAGTCGAAACGGTTTTTGTATTCACATCAAAATAGGCGCTGACAACTGGCGCACACTGAAGCTCACGCAAATTAATAAGTTTCTATAGATTCTACTTGTACTGTTGTTTGTATTTCTGTTTCTTTGTTCAAATCCAAATTTGCGGTCAAGTAATGAGCTAAGTGCGGACAGTGTTGGCCAACGCGCAGCAATGAAGCCTGGGTCAGTAAACGAGAACTTCTCAAAAGCCAGTGCTGCAAAACACGCACAGAGATGGTGGCTGATAGGATGGCCGCGTCGCTTGTTGCTGTTAAGATTCGGTTTGTAAGGTTATCAGCGAGATGTGTCTATATGTATATATATGGTATATGGTATATATATGGTATATATATATGTGTGTATATACGTATATATGTATGTGCTTGCTTGTTTTGTTTTTATTTGATATTGCTTAAGCTGCCAGACTTTATGGTACTCAGGGCACTTATCAAATTTCGCTTTCATTATCACCTATTTGTACGAAGGGCGGTGGGGGCGTGGCAGTTGTTAAGAGCTTAGCAACACTTGGTGTACTCGATATTTTGTTAAGGCTGTACAATTTCCGTAATAGCGTCATTCCGTAATCAATGAATCGAACACATTTATCAACCCATCCATCAGCTTGTCTCATAATTAATTCATCCCTGGGCTGACAGTGCAGTGTGGGCGCCCTATTCAAATGGATATCAAGTGAAGTTCAAGGTCATTAGCAAATAAACAACTAAAAAAATGCTCGAACAGCCCACACAACACACGAGCAACAGCAACAGACTTGACAAACTCAAAATGAAACTGGAAATACAAACATCCAAACACACATAACACAATTATAAATATTTGAATATATTGGCACATATATATATATTTATATATATATATATATATATATATTTATAGACATACGTGTACGTATGTATGTGTGTGCTTGTTAGTTGTGCTGCGAGCCCCCAGCGAGATAAGTTGCTAGAAGCAATTCCAAGTGACTTCGACTAGGCAACAGAGCAAATACACTCACTTATAGGAATGTATCTAGAGATAAGAGATCGTATCAGGTTTCTTTATAATATAATATACATATAAAGGCTACAGATATGTTATATTTAGGTTTTTGATCAAGCTGAAAAGCTTTTTGCTTGGAAATCATAATTTATAGTATATATTTTTTATTATTATAATAAGTTTAATATTTTTAGTATACAACTTTTTTTTTTAATTTGAGTATGGTTTTTTGGAGTCTTTTCTAATTTTGTATAATTTTTTAGGCTTATTTTTTATATATTAATTTATTTTTATATACTTTTTGAGTATAACTTTTTTATTTATCTATGAATTAAATGATTTTTAAATTAACTTTTATATATATATATATATATATGTTAATGATAAATAAAATTATATTTTATTTCAATTCATTTTTATTTATTTATACATATTATATATATAAGCATATTATATATGATTTGAATTAATTTATTTGTATTTTTAATTTTTAATTGGTTATATTGAATTATATTTTTTTAATAATTCAATTATTTTTACATATTTATTTTTTATTTATACATCAACGTTTTATATTAATTTATTTTTATTTATCAATATTATTTTTTTATATTATTATTTATTTTTTAAATTTTTCTATTAATTATTTTTAATTTAATTTACATATAAATCATTTGCATATCATTTTTTTTAAAAAGGCAATTATTTTTAATATCAAATTGCTTATTATTTTAATGCTATTTATATAGTTTATGATTTGTATAGCTTGTAGATTTTTAAGTTGATAACTCATATTGCTTATAGCTTTTGTCTCGAATTCGAATTTAAATATTTTAAAAATTATTTTAATTTAATAATATATGTCAGTATTTATGTATATAATAAATGTATATAATCTAGTATATATGTATATATATTCCATATATTGTTCGTTTTATGACTGGCTCTAGGTCCGGTTCCAGAAAATGCTGCTAAACGAAGCAGAGTATATATTTTATATATATTATAGGTACAATTTGAAGCAGGTTTTTTCTAGATTGATTTCTTTAGCTCTTTTTCGAACAATTATTCGCTTCTCTCTAACTATATTTATATTGAGTAAGCTGCAACTCAGGATTTTTCGTTATAGACCTATATATCTTATGATATATTATGTTCTATATATGATATGCCCCACCTGATGTTACACATTTCATGACAAATTTGACCAACTTAATCAGAATTTATTAAAAGAAAACAAAGTTCGTGTGGTGCATAAAAACTAGCTGAACATGTACCTATATATCCATGTGTACGTATATCAATAAAGAATACAAGTCGAGGTGCACACATACACTTACTTATCAGCTGATAAGTCTATATATATACTATATGTACACGCCTCTGGCAAATATGATTGTGAGGAATTTCTAGCTTTGCCAAAATACAAAAAGTAAACAACAACAAATTGAAGCTACGATAAAGAGTGAGCTCTCTCCCTACGTACCTACCTCACTCTCCCTCTCCCTCTCCCTCTCTCTGTCTCTCTAGAGATCTTACGTTGTGTTTGTGAGCATTAGACTAATTATCAGACCGGCTGGCTTATGCTGCTTTAGGGTTCCAAATTAGTCGCTTGCTCGTCACGCATCTGGAAGCAACACGTCGTCCGCCTGCTTTCGTCTTTTGACTTTGGACCTAAGTCAAATTCGCAATTTACAATTTGAATTTCTTAATATTTTGTAGTGGCATTTGGCTTATCGCGAAACATGTCGAGCACCTGTCTGAAATTGGTGGAAGTGGAGGAGTCTCGTCGCTTTATGATCGATTGCTTCAAGGCTGTGAATGTGCCCGAGGAGCATGCGAAGGCTCAGGCTGATCTGCTGGTGGCGGCCGATCATCGTGGACACTTTAGTCACGGCATGAACAGGCTGGAGATGTACATCAATGATCTGGCCATCAATTCCACGGATGGTGCCATCACACCAGTGGTGCTGAAGGAGACGCCCGCCACAGCCTGGGTCGATGGACGCAATGGACTGGGCGCTGTCGTTGGCAACTTCTGCATGGACTTGGCCATCAAGAAGGCCAAAAATGTGGGCGTTGGCTGGGTCTGTGCCAAGGGCAGCAATCATTACGGCATGGCCGGCTGGTATGCGCTGAGAGCCATGGAGAGCGGCCTCGTGGGCATGTCCATGACCAATACGTCACCGCTGATGGCGCCCACGGGCGCCAAGGAGGCGGCGCTGGGCACCAACCCGCTGTCGTTGGGCGCCAATGCCTGCGGCAAGGATCACTTCCTGCTGGACATGGCGACCACAGCTGTGGCCGTGGGCAAGATTGAGATACAGAACAGAAAGGGCGCCTCCTTGCCCGATGGCTGGGCCCAGGATCCCGAGGGCAAAGTGACGAACGATGCCAAATTGGCATTCGAAACGGGCTGCCTGTGCCCCCTGGGCGGCACTGAGCTGACCTCTGGCTACAAGGGCTACGGCCTGGGCGCCATGGTGGATATTTTGACCGGCGTTATGTCCGGCGCCAACTACTCCACGCACGTGCGCAAATGGACCCACACGGGCGCCAACACAGCCGCCAATTTGGGTCAAGTTTTCATTGCCGTCGATCCGAACTGCTTTGCACCACAGTTCCAGGAGCGTATGACCGACTTCAATTCCATTCTGCGCAACACCAAGCCGGTAAGAGCTGAAGCTGAAGGAGCTTTGAGTCTTTAGAGTAACTAAATCTCGTTCTGCCCTCCCACAGACCGATCCCAAGAAGCCCGTGCTGCTGGCCGGCGACAAGGAGGAGAAGAACATGAAGGACGTTGACCAGACTGGCGGCATTGAGTATCTGGAGAATCAGCTTAAAACCTGCGCCGCCCTAGCCGAGCGCCTCAAGATTCAGCCCCTGAGATTCAAGTGATTCACCGTTCATATCAACTATATCAATAACTCTTTACATATGCCGTGAATTAAATTTGCTTTTGCATTTCTCTTGACCAAAGGATTTGATTAGTGCCTAAGTTCGAGTAAAGTTAACTTTTTATTATATATATATATACGTATATATAGATATATATATGATACATAGTATGCGATATTATTGATTGATTGAAAGCTGTGTTAAAAACTGCCTAAATTGAATTGAATTTGTCACTCTTAATTCACTTTACTTGAATTCACCTAAATAGGTGAATTTATAAACACCTTAATGCTTATGATATACACGTATCAATAAATTATCTGTAAACTGCCTAAGATTGTATTTTTACTATTATTTCACTTGAATAAGGGTTACCTGCAAACTGGGAGATAATAGTTTTTAGGTATGAATTTCCTTTCCTGCCTTAACTGAATTTCCGCTCTTATTTCACTAACTGAATATTCACTTGAATGAGTGAATTATTGATTTTTCCTACTAATGATATATACCTGACATTATATAAACATACAGCCTGAAAAAGCTAATGTAACACTAAGTTTTACTTGGCTTTCACTTTACTTAAATCCACCTGAATAGGTGAATTGATGATTATTCACATTGAGATACACCTAACATTCTATAGACACATAGCCCAGACATTAAACTAAAAATTTATATATAAGCTGCCTATACTAGATTCCCACTCTTATTTCACCCAGCTACATATTCACTTGAATGAGTGAATTGATAAATAATTAACAGTTATGTTGTAAACATATGTTATGAAGTTATTTTAGCTTTAACTGAATTTCCACTCTTGTTTCACTATACAAACATTCACTTATTCAAGTGAATTGATCATATGCTATATATCTGCCTCTATATAAAACGGAACAAGCTAATAAATTATCTGCTTATACTAAATTTTCATAATATGCTCACTATATCTATATATATTCACTCATACAAGTGAATTCCAATTTCACATATATAAACTAATAATAAACTTAATTTCCACTCATATTTCACTAAATGAATTGATCGTGAAGCAAATCGTTAGCTTCATCACAATACAAAACTAAATCTAATAAGCTCTGCTACCTCAGTTAAGTTTCCACTCGTATTTCACTTGTCTACATGAAACTGCCTATGCTAAACACTATACAATTTGCTCAGATTTTCTTAGATATATCTTTCAGCTATATATGTCTACATTAACTTGTTTCCGTCATGCAGACTGCACCTGCTGCCATACAGGATGTATTTGATGGAGTTCACTGCACTCCGCTGGGAATCTCGGCCGGCTGTGGGCGACTCCCGCTTAATGCGCAGCTTGTGGAAGCGGCATTGGGTGTCGAAGAGCAGCGGCACCTTCTTGATGCAGGGACTAACGAGCATGGCGGAGCGCAGCTCCTCGGCATTGTCAGTCTTGCTCATGGACTTGATGAAGTTGATGTAACTGTCATTCTCTGCGGTCAGCTTGCGCTTCTCCTCCAAGAGCAGCATGTTCTGTGCCTGGGCCATGGCCTGCTGGCGCCAGAAGTTCTTCAGGCTCTTATTCAGCATGACCAGATCGGCCTCGGTCAGGTCCACATGCTTCGTAATGTCAAGCGTTTGCAGCGTGAACTCGTCGGTCACGTCGCCCACATCGATGGGGTCGATTACCTCGCCGCCCACAATGATTTTCTCGGACTCCGTTTGCAGCTTGCGACAGGTGATGGAGAGAGCGAGCAGCAGCTCTCCGCTCTTCACGATCTTCTCGAATTTCTATGGGGCGAAGGTGTTGCATGAGTAGAGTTTGGTATGACGGGTGAAGACTGTACCTTGGTCAACTCATAGCACTCGGTGCTGAGTATGCGCAGCTTCTCGTGCGTCGTTATGCGATCGGCGTGCATGCGATCCTCGATTTTCTTGCGCACATTCGTGAAGTATTCGAACTCCAGGCGCAGATCGTTGATCGTCGCATTGTTCTCCGTCTCGACGCGCAGCATCTCCTGCTGTATCTCGTTCAACATGCCGATGTGCTTGACCTCGTCCTGGTTCAGCTTCTTGGTGTCCTCCACAAACAGCTGCTGGCGCTCAGTCAGCATTCGAATGCGCTCGTATTTGTGCACATCCAGATCGGTGTTTTGCAGTACGTCGACGAACTCGTTCAGCTGGCGCTGCATGTGGCTCATTTTGCGGACCACCTGATCGCGTATGTCGAAGCGACGCTCGATGTTTTTGTTCACATAGTCGTCGCGCTGCTCCTGGTAGATCTGATAGTCCTCCTTGAGCTGGTCGCGCGTGAAGAGATTCGAGGCATGGATGATGTTCTCGCTGTTCGTTTGCATGGCCGCCACCTCCTCGGTGCGCAGATGCACCTCGTCGTAGAACTCCTTGAGCAACGCCTCGGCCTGCTGCTCGTACATGTTCTTGCAGCCCTCGAGCATGGCCTGATAGCATTCGCCGATGTGATCGATCAGCTCCACGGTGCGGCTATAGTTGCGCGCATGCTGCTCGTTCGTATGCGTCAGATCCGCCATCAGCATGTTGATGTGATCATTCTTGCTCTCTATGATGCGCTGGGCGCTCTCGCCCCACTGTATCAACTCAGTGCGCAGGTCTATCAACTTAATTTCCTGAGCTATGGCATTCCATTCCTCCATGCCGCGCAAATCCATGCGCTTGCCTATCTCCAGCTCCATTTGCAGCCCATGCTACAGAGAAAAGCATTCGTGAGCAGAGTTTATAGGAGGGAAACAAGAGAGCGACTGGGAGAGAATGAGAGAGAGGACGAGAGAGGCCAAGAGAGTGCCAGAGAGTGTGAGCGAGAAAGAGAGAAGAAATCAGTACCAGAAAGTACCAGAAAGTGAGAAGAAAAGGAAATGCGAAAGGAAGCAAGCATGAAAGAGGGAGACGGCAAGATAGTGAGAGGCAGATTAAGTGCGATGAAAGGCGAGGAAGAGAGAAGGTGGGGAAGAGTAGGAGAGTGAGGAAATAACAGTTAGGAAATTAGAGCGAGGAAAGGAGAGCGAGGAAAGGAGAGTGAGGAAAGGAGAGTGAGGAAAGGAGAGTAGGAAAAGGAGAGTTGGAAAAGGAGAGTAGAAAAAGGAGAGTAGAAAAAGGAGAGTAGGAAAAGGAGAGTAGGAAAAGGAGAGCAAGACAGAAGCAGAGCGAGAGGGAAGAAGAACGAAAGAGCGTAAGAGTGCGATTGCAAACGAAAGAAAGAGAATGGGAGAAGAACGTAGGGAAAAAGAAACGATAAGAGAAAATGGAAGATAAAGACGGACTGGACAATTCCTGAGACATTATAAAAAATATTCAGAGTTAGAGAAAGACAGGGAGAGAGGGGCAGAGGCAGAGAGACTGAGACATCGACACAAGCTCTACTTACGCGTAAGACCAACTTTTGCTCTTCCATTTTGCGCTTTCGCACGGCTTCTTTGCGCGCCAGCTTCTTTTCAGCTTTGGTTGGCCCTTTGGGCTTCTTATCCTCGGCTTCGATCTCATCCAACGTATCCTGCAGATATGTATTTGTGATACGCGTAATGCGTATTTCCGGCGGTAGCTCCGTCATTTTGTTTGCTTTTCAATAGAAATATGTGGCATAAGAATTTGAAATCAAGTTCGAAGTATTTGCTTGTGCTCTGTCTATGAATGTGCTCAAACGTTTCGTCTACTGAAATTTCACGTGACGGCCAAAGCAAAGCTCAGCAACAGCCGTTACTTTGCGAGCGTTAGCCAACACTGCGCCGCAACTGGAGCTCGGCGCCAAAGTGAAAAGCTCGCTCCCGCGCAGCATCTCGCCGAACGGGCCGTCAGTAGACGTTGAAAGCTGGCCAAGCGCGGTTCGTTCGTTGGAAAAGCAGCGAGGACGACAGCCAGGAGCATAACAACAAATCCAGTCACTAAAGGCACGCCGTGTAGCTGTGTGCGTGTGCGTGCGTGTTTTGTTTTTTTTACCCGGCTGCGCCTTGTAAACAAAAATAACTGTGCTTGTTGTGTCTGTGTGCGAGCGACCGAGCGTGCTAGTGTGTGTGTGTGTGCAACGTTTCGGTGGTGGTTAACAACCCCCAGCAACAGCAACAACAACAACTACTACAAAGCTCGTAGTGGCAAGGGCAAATCCAGCAAAGTTTTCGGGGTTGCAGACAGTTGGCAAACAAGCTGCGAATATCCGTTTAAATAGCCATAAATATTCAACAAAAATAAAATAGAAAATAAAATTCAAAAATGAGCGATGCAGGCGGACCGAATGGCTATCAAAAGCTGCCGCCGGGTTGGGACTGCAAATATGATCAAACGACGGGCAACTGGTAAGCAACAGCAGCAGCAGCAGCAACTGACAATGCATAAAGCAAACGTCATAAATATTTATGCACGCAAAAAGAAAGAGAAATAAAATTGCATTGAAATGCGAGCCGAGTGCTGTACGCGGCAATTTTTCATTGCATGCTTTTAGGCGGCGCCTATTAAAGCTGTGCACGAGTATAGCATGACAGGCGTTGTATAAAACTGATTGCTGTGAACTTATTAAATGTCAAAGGACTGTAAAGTATATTTATAAATATATATATCTATATATTTATAACCATTTTTTATATAAAATTTTGATAGTCAAGCTTATTAACATGTCTACAACTGTCTGCTTGACAGAGAAACTTTTGTACGAATTCCATTGCATACTCTTAGGCAGCGCTTTAAATCGTGCCGCTTTGGTTGTTGTTTTAGCACTGTCTTGACGTGCTATTCATTATGCCAAGCACAACACTTGATGTCAATTGGCCTCATTGGAGCACAAACTGTGTCACTTCCGCCTAATGTAGACTTCACTCCAACTTGCGAGCTACTTGCGCCCCTCTCTCTCTCTCTCACTCCGTTCGCATTTGTTTGCCTTGGCGCTGTGTGCAATTAAGCAGCGACTGTCATACGTTAAATTCAAGTGTGCACTTGTCAGGAGTCTCATGTCATCTCGTCTCGTCTCGTTTCGTTTCGTCTCGCAATCACAGCGCCCCGATTAGCTGTCAAATGCGAGTTGATGCTGCTGCCATTTGGCAGCTACTTGGCACGTGTCACTGTTTAGGTCTCGTCGTACCCTTTACCTGTGCCAGCAGCCCAGCATTGCCCCCAAATGTGTGCCATCATTGAGAAATTCACCACCAGACGGCACCAGAGCCGGCAACCAACCCCCGTGTGCTAGCATTTTATGGCCTTTGATTTGCAGTTTTTGCCACTTTTATGTCGTTGCAGCTATTACATAAACTATCTGACCAAGGCTATGCAGCTGGAGGATCCGCGCGCCGGACGCAGCAGCTACAAACAGTTGCAAAATGAACGCTGCTCCACAGAGTCCATAGCGCTGCAGGTGAGCTCAGTCAGTTGCTTAATCATTTGAGCATGTGCTGGAAAGCTATAAAGTTTTTATAGCATACTTTTAAGCGCGGCATAAAATCTATAAAATTCATGGTACAGTCTTAAGTGTTTTTTGTTAATACTCATTTAAATTTTCCTCATTTGCAGCCTCTGACACAACACTCACATCACAGCTCACCCTTCCATGTGGTGCATCCCAGCAACAATCTAACAGCCGTGCGTGCCTTCCAGGAGCGCGCCTTGCACAATCTATCAACGAGTCCGCTGCTCTCCGCCTCCTCGCGTGGACAACTGGTGGGCGTTAGCTAAGCCTTTAACAAGCAATACTTGCTATAGCTGTGTCTTTTCTCTGCCCTAGGAGCTCTCTTCGCCTCTGCCCCTGCAGCGTGCCCGTCTGCCCTCCAACATGTCGCGCCGCTCCACCATTCAGGAGACCTCGTTCAGCGACACCCAAGCGGTGGTCACCAAGATACAGAACATGTTTCCCACAGCCGATGAGAACCACATACGCCTACTGCTGAAGCGGTAAGACACGATTCGTATATATAGAAGCTATAGCTCATATAGTAATTGCTGGCTAATCTGCATATATATATGTATATCTATGTCTTCTCACACGCTGCCGCTTAATGCACCCACACACGCCCACTCTGTTCCTCTCTCTTTCTCTCTCTCTTTGTCTTACACACCTGCTTACTAACCACAGTTATTATAATCGCGAGGCCGTCGTCATCAGCGCTTTGCAGGTGGAAAAGCATCCCGTTACAATGCCTGGTCCATTTGTGACGCCACCCGCTCAACGTCACCTGTTCCACAGTAATTCCGCTTTCTATATGACACCACCGGCGCGTCGCCTGGACATGGGCGCTAGTCGAGTCACGGTGACCTCACGCACGGCCAGTCCCCTGCCCGGCGGCCGCTTCGGTAGTCTCATGAGCATGCAAAGTGGACACCAGCAAACAGGAGCAGCAACAGCAGCTGGCGCTGGAGTTGGAGTTGGAGTTGGAGTCGTGGCTATGGGTCTGCACGGCTCGCCGCAGTGGCGCAGCTCCCCCAAGCCCCACTCCTCGCCCAAAATGAAATTGAGGTGCGATTTGGCTCGAGATTGGGATGTAATTGCATTAAAAATGCAATTAGCTAATGGCAAATTGAGTGTTTAATGCTAAGAGCCAACTCAATTGAAGCTCCGTTTGTTGACCTTTGCAATTAGCTTGAGGAAAATGCCTAAACAATATTTGATTTAACATTTAGGACTCTTTAAGTTCACTCTTTTGTCCTGATTTTATTTTATTTTGCTTTTATCTATCTCTATTTAGCTTTATTTAGCTTTACTTTAGCTCAAGATTCTATAGATTCTATAGCCCTGCCTGGAGCGCGCGCTCTCTCTCTCTCTTTCTCTCTTTTATGATTGCTTATAAATTTTCTTTTAGTTTTCATATTTTAACAGATATTCTCTATTGTATAATTATACTAATAAGACTCATTCTTCCCTTAGATACATGAAGAACATATTCCCCAAGGCTGATGAGATGCTGCTGCTGGATATCCTGGCCAATGCGGACAACAACGTGCAGTTCGCCTCGGAGAAGCTGATCTCGTTGGGCTATGTCAAACGGGACATGCAGCAGCCGCACAAACCCAACAATCGGCCGCCGCAGCTGGAGTCGGAGCAGCAGGATCAAGCTGTGCAGCATATACCGCTGCGACCCAAGGAATACACAGCCGAGCAGAAGGCAGAGAGTGAGTGGCCTTAGCTAAAGCTTTATTTACCCAACTCACTTCCAATATCCCCTCAGTGGAGTCGCTGCTCAAGCAGAAGTATCCGCACATAGCTGAGCGCATCATTTTGATGGCCTTGGAGTCTGTGAACTATGCGGAGGATCGGGCCACGCAAATCTTGCAAATCGTGCAGGACGAGGATGAGCAGCGCAGCCAAAAGCAAACGCTGAGCACGTCTCAGCCGGCAGCAGCTGAGATGAAGCTAAAGGTGGATCAAGTGGATGCCCTACACAGGTGCGTAGCTGCAAGTCGCCACCAGTTTGCTGTTTCTATAGCTATATAGACACCTATCCAAGCCCTTGGGTCTGTCTGCCTTTGCTGCTGCTGCCGCTTTATTCGTTTTGTTAATCGATTGCCCATTTTCTTTGTAAAACTTTGTTGCTGCCTCAACCACCAACAACAAACAAACAAATAAACACCTTTGCTTGCTTGCTGCCACGCCCCCACCTCAACATCATCATCATCATCACTGACATTGTCATCATCATCACAACGAGCAGCAGCAAGCCACATAAGCAACATCGCCATTTGCCATCCATCAATGTCATCACACCCACCACGGCCACCACACAGATCATCCTGAGCCATGAGCAAACGCCGGAGCAGCTGGCCAACGATTCAGGCTGCCAGTCTGAGTCGAAGGCAGCAGCAACTGCCTTACAGCTGTCAGCTTCCAGCATTTCCAGTGCATCCACGCACTCATATGCCTCGCCGGCTCAATCGCCCACGCGTCCAAGCTATGAGCGCTTAACCACCAAGAGTATGCTAGCGCGTTCCAGCTGCTACAATAACTACAACAGCAACAGCAACAACAATAACAACAATGGCAGCAACAGCAACAACAACAACAACAACGACAACAACAACTACAGCAACAACAGCTATGCCTCGTATAGCACATCGATGGGATCGTCAACTGTTTCGGCCAGCTCCATAGCGAAGGCATTTGAAAGTCGCGCGCGCACCAAAACCGATTCACTGAAGTATGCCTGCCCGTTTAACCGTTTAACCGTTGCCGTTAACTTTGTACAGTTGTGCATGTTTGTTCTTAGCTAGCTTTGCTGCACGTTTATTGATTTAACTTTTGTTCGACTCTCCTCTTTTGTGGGCATGCTAGAATTTATTTACCCTGTACCTAGATGTGTGTATGTGTATGTGCGAGGGTAGTATGAAAAATTTGCGAACTTTAGTTGAAGCTAACAGAACTTTAATTGAATAACTAAGCAAAAATAGAAAAGGATAACTGAATTAATAAATTACAAAATAAAACAGTACAAAAATAAAATATTTATGAAGAAAAATTATAATTTATTTAAAAAATATAATAACAAAAAATATTTAAAAGAAATATATTTATCGAAAAATTAAAATAAATTAATTTTCAAAAGAGCAAAGATAAAAAATGTTAAAAAATTAATATAATTTAAATTTAAATTAATAAGAACTTGTATATAATTTGTTAGCCAATTCGCAAATTTTTCATCTATATAAAAATTGTTACTTCATACTTAGATAACTTCTTTTGTCTCTCACAGACAGCGACAGCTTTCCTCGCAGCTGGACAATGGCCAACATTTGGAGTCGGGTGAATTTCAATCACTGATCGAACGAATGGCTACGCTTGGAGCCAATGCACAGTTGGCCAAGGGAGCTGATGAGCATCTCTTGCTGTAAGTCTCAGTTAAATATACATGTTTAAAATATATTGTTTTAATAATATATTCGATTCAATAGCGCCGACTACGTCACTTGGAATGGACCAAACACAACGCTCTGCCAGAAGCAAACTCCACAAGGCCCAGATGCTGGTCTAATAGGTGGAGAGCGTGGCTACAAAGCAGTTGGCAGAAATGCGGAGCTGTGCAAAGGCGCCAAGAAGGAGCTGAGCAAAGGGAGCATCTATGCACGCAGCAAAGGCGCCAACATCAAATGCAATTAGAATAGGCCTGGCAGAGATCCTTCACGTGCCAAAAAAATTACCAAGGAGCACTCTAACTTGACTTTAACTACAATTTGCTCTCAATGTGTTCCCTATATACATGATACATATTCCATTTATATATAGAGCGATACATAGATCATACATATGTCTTTAGCACGCACTTACCAATTCCATCCACAAATCCAATTGAATATTTTTTGGTGTTCGTATAAAAAACTTTTTGCAGCTTGAAATATACTATAAATCGATATCTAAAAACTAACTTAGAGTGACTTTATTACTGTTAATTTCTTTGTTAAAATTAATATATATTTTTATTTTATTATTTATTTACTTTTTAAATATTATAATTTTGTATTATTTATTACTTTTATTTTTATCATATATTATATATATTTTTTTATTTATATTATTTATTTTTGTATTTGGGCTAAACTTCATCCTCGTTTAGCAGCATATTGGGTATTCCATCGGTTATTGGAAACACGCGTCCCGTTTCAGGGCATTCCAGCTGGCCCTCAAGCACATCGATTTCAAAGAGCAAATGATGCAGTCGCTGCAACAGCTGTTCATCTTCAGCCATATTGTCGGGTTGTGCTGCTGGAATGTCGTCTGCTAGTTCCGCCTAGAAAAGAATGTGCAGCTTAGTTATGGTATTCCAGTCAAGAGATTACTACTGTATTTTTTACTCACCACCTGCGCAGCGCTATAGACCGCTGCCCAGTCTAGTTTAGGCAATAACCGCTCTATAAACACTGGATTGAATTCGCTTTCAATTACATCCTTTTTGTTAATCTGCGCAAAATTTCAAAACTCTTGAAACAATCAATAGAAATAAAAGGCACAACTTACAGTAAGTTTCAAGGGATAACCCACTTTAACGCCCTTGATGGCCATTGAAGTTAGAAAATTATATGTGCTTAGTTTCATTATTTATATTGAATAGTTGTTAGTTATAAAAATTATAGCTTATAATTTAAATAAATACAAAAACGCACGTTTTAAGCATTCACCCGGTAACGTAAACACAACAGCTGTTCTTTCGCCGCTTGCCGGTCACATTGTCTAAGATATCGATAGCAATCGTCTTTCTCCAATATGATATCGCTGCATAAAAAGAATGTGACCAGCCAGCAGCACAATAATAGAACCAGAGCAACAACTGGTGCAATTTTATGCTTTTAAAACGTTTATAAATGTAAATAAAGTGCAAATTGTAATCAAAACATTGTTAAAGTATATAATATACATTTGTAGTGCAAATATGGAGGATATTTTTCACTGGTGCCGCGAGGGCAACTCAATTCAAGTGCGCCTATGGCTGGATGAAACTGAGCATGACATGAATCTGGGGTAAAAGCGAGTTATAAATGTTTGAAATTAGTGCAAATATAACAAACCAACTATAAAATAAGCTGATCTGTGCATAAATTCCAATAAATGCTATATTGGGCAACAATTTAATGATTGGTCGTCAACCAATTGGGACGTGACGTCATGATTTATTCTTGTGTTGTGTAAACAAGTTGCACACATACTATTAAACGAAAATATGTGTGTGTGTAGATAAGTGCGTCACTCTCATGCTCTGCCTTTACCGCTCTTGCTCTCTCTCAATCTCTCTCTCTCTGTATGTTTGTTTTTGTAGCGATGATCACGGCTTTAGTCCGCTGCATTGGGTCGCCAAGGAGGGGCATACGAAGCTCGTGGAGACGTTATTGCAGCGCGGCGCTCGTGTGAATGCCACCAACATGGGCGATGACATTCCTCTACATCTGGCCGCCGCTCACGGACATCGTGAAGTGGTCCAAATGGTGAGTTTTGAAATAATTAATACCCTGTAAATTTCATATTGATTGATTATATTGTTGCAGCTGCTGCGTGAGCGCTCGGATGTGAATGCTGTCAACGAGCATGGAAATACGCCGCTGCATTATGCCTGCTTCTGGGGCTATGACATGATCTGCGAGGATCTATTGAATGCGGGGGCCCTGGTTAGCATTGCCAACAAGGATGGCCACACCGCTGTGGACAAGGCGAAACCCAGTTTGGGCAAGCGCATACAGGATCTGGCCGAAAAGAGCGGACAGGAGCTGAAAGTCATCAGCTTCAAGGAGCAGAGCTGGCTGGGCATGAAGACGCGCTCGCGCGATGCTACTTTATCACGCTTCAAGGGCATCAGCATGGGAGATTTGGACTTGCACACAAAGATCTCGGTGACGCCCTCTGGTGAAACGTGGCGTGGTCGCTGGCAAAAGAACGATGTTGTGGCCAAGGTGTGATAATTAACATTAGTATTAATTATCACCTTAATTCCAATTGTTATATTTTACAGGTTCTTGCACTGCGTCAATGCACCTCGCGCATTTCGCGGGATTTTAATGAGGAGTTTCCCAAGCTGCGCATTTTCTCGCATCCCAATATTTTACCCATTATTGGCGCTTGCAACTCGCCTCCCAATTTGGTGGTAATCAGTCAGGTAGACTTGTAGTAACATATCTTTGGGCCGCATCTAATCCTACTCTCCTTTTCAGTTTATGCCACGTTCGTCGCTTTTCAATTTGCTGCATGGTGCATCGGGCGTTGTCGTGGATACCAGCCAGGCTGTGAGATTCGCCTTGGACATTGCACGTGGCATGGCCTATTTACACTCGCTGGAGCGTATAATACCCACATATTTTCTGAACAGTCATCATGTGATGATCGATGATGATTTGACGGCGCGCATTAATATGGGCGATGCAAAGTTTTCGTTCCAGGAGAAGGGGCGTATCTACCAGCCCGCTTGGATGTCGCCGGAGGCGCTGCAACGTAAGCCAGCCGATCGCAACTGGGAAGCATCCGATATGTGGAGTTTTGCACTAGTTATCTGGGAGCTGACCACACGCGAGGTGCCGTTCGCTGAATGGTCGCCCATGGAGTGTGGCATGAAGATTGCACTGGAAGGATTACGCGTCAAAATTCCGCCAGGTACTTCGTCGCATATGTCGAAGCTCATATCGATCTGTATGAATGAGGATCCGGGCAAGCGGCCCAAGTTCGATATGGTTGTGCCAATTCTGGAGAAGATGAACTCCAGCGCAGTCAAAGCCTAGAGGGAAATACCACGAAATTACAAAGCCAAAATGTGCCTGTTTACAAAAGTGTGTGTAGCTAAAAAGGATAACAAAATGGAGCGAAGTGGAAGTGCTCTCACGATGTGTTTTGCCAACTAATTATAATAACTACTTTTTTGTTAATTTACTCAAAACTTAACTGAATCTAACCGAGTGCCTAAACAATGAACATTTACGCCATTTTGAAAATGTCTACAGGTAAAAAAGCTTTTAAGTTTTCTATTGTGTTCAATGTGTCGCCCATTCTCTCTCTTTCTCTTTCACACTGTGTGCAGCAGTTTGTGTTTCGTCCTGCTCTTGTTTTATGTTCTTATGAATTTTGATGATAATGTTTAGACGGTGCTCGACTCTGTATTTGTTTTAAGTTGAAATACACATACACACAATTAACAGTTAAGCTTCTAAACGTACGTATTTATACAGCATATATATTTGTTACTAATGATTAAACGAAATTTGTGTACCTATAAACGAATTTGATAAATTCTACTTGATTCTCTTTTAAGTTAATAATTTAAAGCTCAGAGCAGCTTTTACCGCTAAAATGCAAAACACAAAAGCTTTCTTTGAGTGTGCGTGTGTGTGGCGGGTAGTCAGCGTGAGCAAAACGGCCCTGACCTGATTTTCATTATGTGCACGCCATTCTGCAGCGCGTGGGCAGCGCAGCAGCAGAGCAATGCAGCGAAAAAGAGAGCGACGGCAAAGATGAGAGCCGGCGTAAACGCGCAGCTGTGAGACCGCACAGTTTTGTGTCTTATGCACATACAAGCGTATGCATAGATAAAATATTAGTATTGAATATTTATAATAATTAATATTAAATATTAATGGGAATTTAATAAATTGCTACTTTTTTTTTGTCTGGCCCTGCAGTTTCGCTGCGATTTTCGCCACTCTCTTTTCGCCGACTTCGCCTTATCGGCTTGGCTGTAGGGCTCTCTGTTTATGTTTTTGCGGCACCGTTATATATTTGAAGTTGCTGCTGTGCCGAAGCGGCTACTGTTGTTGTTGTTGTTGCGGCGAACTTAAACCATGTGATTGTTTTGCTAGCTCGCTCTTCGTTCAACGGCATATCCTGTCCCATCCATGTGTGCGTGTGTGTGCCGCTGCAGCTTTAAAAACTTTTGCTGCATTTTGTTGTCGTCGTCGCCGTCGCCGTCGTCGCCATCATCATCGTTGCTGTCGCTGTCGCTGTCGTCGTGCTTTTCGGCCCAGAGGCTGGTCGCTCGGTCTCCAAACGGCAGCGGGCAACAACGCTGCAGTGTCCAAAAGCCGATTTACAGTTTTATATGCCAGTTATGAGTGCAACCAACAAACAGCGACCGCATTTCCGCAATGGCGAATGTGTGCACAAAAACTAAGAAACGCAGTGAATCACTCAAATTGTGCTAAAGACAACAATTAACAGTAGAGAAAAGAAGAACTTTACCTTAAAAATAACCAAACCTCGCTGCAGCCGCAAGCAAATCGAAATCGCCGCAGTGAAAGTGCAAAGAAAAATAGAAAAAATTTCATGGCATCTTTTAGGCGCAGCGTATAAAAGATTCGCCCCCGATTTTTGATACTTGCGGTTGTAGTAGTTGTTGTTGTTGGACGCCCACCTCCCACAGCAGCTGTTTAAATGTATTTGAGTGCTTGTAACCAACAGCGGCCAGCCCCCTTGAGGGCCGGCAATCCATGGAGTATTCAAACTCTAAATGTTTGAATCACAACGAGCCAATACAACAGCAGCAGCAGCAGCAAAGCGAACAGCAAAGCAGGCAAGTGTTATTTATATGTATATATTTATATTTATATATGGTTTTATGCATATGTATGTTGCATGTGCCCCATTTAAATGGCCACACCTGAGCTGAACACAGTTTTTATGCTCTCTAGTTTTGTGTTTCATTTTTTTTTTAATTAACCAAACAATTGCCCAGGCACGAGTGTGGCATGTGGCAAGCCTTTTGTGTCGCAGTCACATAATTTTAAAAAACTTTTCAACAACCAGGAGCTGATGCTGTTGCTGCCGCTACTGCAGCAGTTGCTCCTCATCATCATTCATTTGGCTGACGAGTGAGCCACTGACCTACATCCTGCCCCAACAAGGCGCTGCTATTGTTGTTAGCCGGCGTGCCACGCCCACTTGCACAATGCCAGTTGTGCGGGCGTTGATAAGCGAAGAAATGTGAAAAGTGCCAGCAGCGGCAGCATCAGAGCACGTTGAACGTCGAAACAAACGTTGCCAGGCCGTCGCCTAACAAATGATGAGATTGTGCCGATTCGTTGCTAAAGCCGTGTGCCCCATCTCTATGCATAAATCAAAAGTTCAATTTTGCACATTTCAGCAGCAGAGCACAGAGAAAACACACACAGAGAGATAGATAGGCTCCTTGGCAGCAGCTAAAACGCCACATGGGCAAATATTTCACTTCTGCTTTCGAGCAGCGCATCGAAAAGCGAAAATATTGTGACAACATCAGCAACAGCAACAACCACAACAACAAGAACAAGAAAATCTCTATTGAGTGCTTGTTGGGCTGCTGCACTTGTGTGAAGTGCATAACAACGTGGAAATATTGTAAAAGCAAACTACACGACAGTCCGAGACAGAGAGTGAAAGAGAGAGAGAGAGAGAGAGGGAGAGGGAGAGAGGGCGGACATTGGATGGGACAGAAGGCAATGCCAAATGCTTGGGCTACAAAGCAAAATGCAATAAAGCTCAGCGTCGGCATAGAACACATCAAACGTGCTACATGCAACATGGGGCATGCCGCAGCTGCCGGAGTTTTACATCCTGCTGGGCATATTGATTTTATAGCTGCAATCAAAGAGGCAAATGCATTGAGAGCGCAACGAGAAGGCAAAACATTTTTAAAAATTCATATAATTTCTATAAGAAATAACAAAAATTTTATTT